TATGAAGACGTCATAATGTGCAACAGCCATGTGCGTGGTGCCAGATTAATGTGTGTGGTTTTTTGAAGCAGAATGCTCTTCTGATGCGGTTCTGCTCTGGCTTCGGTCTCTTTGACAGAGCTCCAGTTCTCTGATTGGCACCATGCTGTAAACCTATGGAAAAGGCCCTCTTTGACATTGTTTTCCTTCCTTCTTGCTGGACCTTATCCAGTTTTCAGACTGAGCAGTAGCTACATAATAACATCCTTGTAGTAGGGAAAGCAGAGTGCGCGGGCTGACATTCCTGAATATACAATTCAGTTCTTACTGCAGATGTCAGTGAAATACTCGGGCATGTCCTCAACTGAAGAGTCACGCTGTCTTTCGTCTGTCAAACGTCAAGCTTGCGTTGATGCTTACTCTGCCATAATGATCATCTGAGATATTGTACATGCTTTGTTGTACAGTGGTCATTTAGTGGAATCTGATGTTTAGTCCAGGCACATGCAAGTAGTCTAAAAAGGATTTGACCAGTAAGAAGAGTCTTTAGTTATGAATTTACATTGAGGCCACTTAATGTCTCCTGAATGGGATGGTTCACCCAAAAATTATAATTCTGTCATAAATTTACCCTTCGCAAAGACCCGCCCCCCCTCAGTTACTGTCGCTATGTCCGTCAAGCTACACCACTCTGACACGCACGCCATGTTCTCACTCAGTGAAAAATACATTGCGGAGCAGAGACAACACGCTGACAGACAGGGCAGACCAGGTTACTTGTTTTCGGTTACTTTTGATATTAAAGATATTAAACAAAGTCTCACCTTTCAAATTTCGTCATTTTTAAAAAGAAATTTAAACAATAAATACAATAACGTTTTGTGGCTCTTTAATGTGTCTTGACAGATCGCTATAGAGCATCAGTTAAAGCTGCTCGTGATCCAATCATCTCTTCCATCTAGTTCATTTATATCATCAAATAAACATGAATGAACATAAGAATAAATGTTGTTTTAACCATGGAAAGGCGTCAGTACACTCCGTTTTTCAAGTTTTAATCCTCTCATGTTAATCTTCTATCTCTCCTGACTGCTTTGTCGGACAAAATGGCGGATGGCGAAGTATGATTGGTCAGATTACCTGTCAATCAAGCTCCACGCGAAGGGTCAATTACCCTCACCCTCAAATTCGACACTTTGACACTTCAAAAAGTTACTAATCCATATTAATTGAGCGGTTTAGTCCACATTTTTTACACAATCACTTTATATGATTAACAGATTGAATTTAGGATTTGATTTGCGTATAAACATTTATCAACTTGCACATTAGTTGTGATGATAAACAGAAGCTGAAGCATGCTCACTTGACATGAGAGACCCAATGAGGTTCATTCTCGTGTTATGCAGCACATTTGAACTTCCCCTAGAGGTTTGTTCTCACGTGTCAAGCGGGTTCAGTTGAGCTTCAATTTATGTTAGCTGATCAACGTTTATATTTAAATAAAATAAAATAAATTCAATCAGGTTATCATATAAAGCGATCGTGTCTATTCAGAAAATTTGGACTTAACTGCCGATGGATATGGATTCATTTTACGATCTCTTTATGATCGTTTTGAATCGTCAAAGTGGTAGTTGACTGTCAATGGTGGGAGAGAAAGCTCTCAGATTTCATTAAATAAAATATCTTCATTTGTGTTCCGAAGGTGATAATAATTTGTATTTTTGGGTGAACGACTTGCATAGAATTATTTTATGCTGTGCGATCACTCACTTTCAATAAAAACACTATTCTAACATTTATTCACACTCTTTATTTCACTTGCTTTCATTAAAACGGATGAAACAAATCATTTTTTTTTATTTTCTTGATTTACAAATGTGAATGGCCTCAGTGTTGCATTGTTTCAGATGAGGAAAATTGGATGTTGAGCAGTATGGGCGTAATACAGTTACAAAGGAGGACTTTGTGACTGTGTGCTATGATCTATTCTGATAGACATCAGATCTCTGCAAATTGGGCCTCATGGAAGAGGAAATGTAGGCTACTGTTCTTAAAGAAACAAAGACAGGAAGTACTTGACAAAAATACATCAAATACTGTATGAGCCTTTCCTTTCAGCAGTCATCGATCTTCTGAAACCCGTTTAGTTAGCTTATTCTGGGTTATCTAACTGATTACATTTGAATTGTAATTTCATAATATACCGTCTTCTCCCAAATCCCCCTCAAAAATATGCCAATCCCAAATGGCATTTTTGAGGACAAAGTGGAATGAAGAAGCTTTGCATAATTTGTGTGATTCTAAATGTCGTGGTTACAGAAACCAGACATTGTATTTTCTGTCTTTCTTTCTAGAGTTCATAACTTTAAAAGTTAAATTGTCAACTTAAAAATAGTTTTCTCTTTGTTTTTTTCCACAAAATCCATTCCTAAACACAAGGGTAGTTTAACGAATGAGCAAATTTACTTATACTTTAATCAGAGACTCACTCAAGCTGAAATGGCCCTAATGATGAGACATGCCGTTATTTTCTTCTGAGAAATTTAGTTGAGATAATGTTTGAAGCTAAATTGAAACAAATTTTTGGCATTTTTATATTTTTCGCCAGCTTTCTTTACCACACTATTCTCATTATTATTATTATTATTACTATATTTACCTTTTATCTTAGTATTTCTATTTAAAAGATAATATCTATAGAAATATGTATGTGTGTGTGTGTACACACCATTTTCAGAACAAAGTGGTAACAGTCCAATAGTAGTGACTAGTGACATTTAATTTTGTTACATTAATTAAGAGGTATCCTAATATTTAGTGCAAGAATATATTGGCTCATGTTTGGCTGCGAGGGGATCGTTTCATCCCTCTTCATCACATAAATGTAATAGCAAGGAAGCTGTGGAATACTTTGTAAACCCTCATCTTTTTAATTTCCTTTGGGACAGCATAGGCTGACCTAGGTGAGATTTTAAATTGGTAAAAGCATGGGTGGAGCCAGATGTTATCTTCATTAGGGGAGCATATCCCTAATGCTCGGAGATTACTGCCTTTTTTCCAAGTGTTCCTCTTAACAATCCTTCTTAACTTAATGACTTTGAACTTGTGTAATAGCAATTGATTGTTGTCTTCCAGGCACTCTGTAATTGAAGACCTGCGATCCTTCATGAATTCTAATGAACAGACTCTATGCTCTTCCTATTTCATGGTTCCCCTCTGTTGAATACATTGTAGATCGCACTTTGTTCTTCTATTAATGTCTATTGATTGATCGAGAACTGCAATTTAATTCATTAAAATAAACCCTCAGGATAATGCTCCTTATTCATGTGTGATATAAAGGTAATTCACTTAACTAACTTTGCATTTAAGTGTAGCTTGTACTCTCACGGCTGTAACGTCTGCATCTTTTGTGCTGTAGCTCTTGTATTTAAAGTTGTGCAGCAAAGGCTCATGGGATTTTTTTCACCCTTTCTAAATCAGTAGGACTAAATGCCACTATTGTATATTATACTAAAAGAGCAAGAGCCAGTAAAAATTCCATTGTACTCATCACATATGGCATGTAAAACACTGTACATTGAAAACTTTTGCCAGATGTGTGGGCTTGACCATGTTTTTTAACCACAACTAGACTCCAGTGGTCCAAAGACACATAACTGCAAAGGATGCAGTTTGCTGGCAAGAACAGGAGATTTGATAGCTTAGAATGTTTCAAAATTCAGAAATGTTAGAAAATCCTTTACATTAAAATGCGAAGTATTTGTTTTTATTTAGTTATAGTGTCTGTTTTTACTTTACTTATTTTACATCTTCGAAAAATCGCGTAATATATTTTTTCCCTTACAGTATAGACTTCTACTCATTTTTTGTTCTTCACATTTTACATCAGAGGGAAAATTAATGTAAATTCACATCATTAAGAAAATTAATGTAAACAACTGAACTTTCTAGCTTTTTTAGTAGAGCACTTCTTTGCATTGATAACAGTTTTGCACACTCTTGGCATTCTCTCAACCAACTTCATGAGCTAGTCTGGAATGCTCTTCCAGTCTTGGACCATGGTGAAGGAATTCTGATACTAACTCAACACATGTTGCTGCCTTATTTTCACTTTAGTCATGGTCTTTAGCATAAGCTTTAAGGTTATGAGAAACCAGTGTTGAGTAAGTTTCTCTAAAAAAGTAATTAATTACTAGTTACTAATTACCTCTTCAACAGTGTAATTAGATTACTGTATTAATTACTCTCTAAAAAGTATTTAATTACTTTTAATTACTAATTACTTTCAAAATCCCATATCGATCTCAACCAGCTGAATAATACAAGGATAGACGTGAATCTGTTTTAATTCTTTCAAATAAATACTATAAAATTGCTTGAATTATCCTTAAACAGATCAAGGTGGAGAAGGTTACATTATAAACATATACTTTTTAACATCAGACAATACGTTTTGATGTTAAAACCACTATTGTTTATTGTCTGATCTCATGACATTTCACACCTTTTTCATACATATTTTACAATAATTCATACGAATTTGAGTGCGATCCCACGATTTAGACGCCTCATAAAATGCATACGAATCGCTGTGAGATCGGATTGATCTATACACAGTATTTACCTCAATTACATCAGAAGTAACTGTAATTAAATTACAGATAAATGAAGACTAATCCCTTACTTTACATTTTCAAGGGAAAAGAAATTCAATTACTGTAACTAATTACTTAGTAATTAGTTACACCCAACACGGTGAGAAACACACATTCAGTTAGGCGTGTCTAGACATACCAGTCAGTACAAAAAATGTTTTTTTTTTGATGGTACCAGCATTTCTGCAGAACAGGTAGTATAGAGTACAGGGTATATTATTCATTCAACTGCTGAAATTTGGGTACTGTGGGAACCCTAGTACTCCATACTAAATGCCATGCTAACGTGACATCAGTTCAGTGGTTAAACATTTAATAAATAAATAAAATGCTCTGCTTATTTTTAATGTGTTCCAGGTCGACTTTATGCCATGCAGACGGGAATGAAACTAGATAGCAAAACTCCAGAGTGCCGGAAGTTTCTTGTGAAACTAATGGATCAGTTGGAAACGGTAAGTTAAGTCCTAAAGATTTTTGTACTTTGACTGGTTTTGAGTTCTTTTGTTTTTGTGGCATTAGCAAAACATTTTTAGTGACCTTTTGGACTAAGGGCACTATATTCTCATCAGTTCAAAAGGCTGAATTTATAGGTCTCCTCAAAAGGGGAGCAGGAAGCTGTGGAAAAAAGAAAACTTTTCTTTTATGCCTAGGCAGGCACTGTTATAGACATTTCAGGAACCAATTAGACGAGCGCGGAGACCCTGCAGTCTCCAGTGCTCACTTTTACTATCGCCTCAGTGCATTAAATGTCACAGAAACAGGAAACAACAACATGTGGAGACTAAGATCCTGGTGGGCACATCCGGTCAAAAGGTCTGAAGCATGAAGTGTACTTCATCTTTTACACCATACAATAAAAAGATGATGCTCTGCTCTTTAATTATGGTCGGAATCACCCATCTTTCATTTTATGTGTATGAAATGTACTTCACAAAGAGTAAACAGTGTATGTATGTATCTATTAAACGTATAACTTTTTTTATACTACCTATTTATAGGTTACGTTTAAGTTGTGAGCTGAAGCAATCTCATTCTTTTTGTCTTTTTTGTTGAGAAATTATTTTGCAGTGCTTTTCTGAAATTACACTGGTTTACGAGCCTAACTTTTACCAGTGGGTTCTCAACCCAGTAAATGGTTCACAGGTCTGTTCTGGGTAAAAAAATCTAAATGTATATGATAAAAATCAAACTAAATATATATAATTGTGCATAGTTAGATAGCAAGGTGAGTAGGCTTATATAGAGGTAATCTTTGTTTATGCAACATCCAGTCAAATTCATCTGTCAACTAGTTGAAGCTACTGCTAGACAAATTAGATAGATGACAACATGGGCATGCACTGCAAAAACTCAAAATCTTGCCAAGTATATTTTTCTAATTTCTAGTCAAAATATCTCAGCTCACTTAATATAAGACAAAATTACCTAAAGACCAAGATTTAAGTAAGATACAGGAGCTTGTTTTTAGACAGTGCATCTTGAATATCTTGTTAAGTGAAACTGTCTTAAAAATATCTTGTTTTGAGTCATATCTCAGATGAAACAAGCTTTTTTGACATTTTGACAGTTTTTTAAGCTGCTGTGTTATTTGTAAAAGATGAATCGTCTTGTTTCAAGAAACAGACTTAACTTGAATTGAGACAAATCTGCTTCATTGAAAACTGCAGGCCAACATGCCCAACTCACAACAACTCACAATGACATGACAGCAAAAAAACAAACAAACAAAAAACGTAATTTATTTACGTATAAACAACTTTACCAACATACAAATTTATATGTATTCCTATTTAACTTATGCATATTAAAATCGTGGTTTTGACTCTATTGCATTCAATTGTCTTATCAATTAAATTTTCAGTCTCATTTATTAATAGTTTAACGTTACTCATAAATAATAACATTTCGTTCTGTTCGTGCCTTTTGCTGCAAACTCGCTTTGAAGCATTAGCCTACATGGTGTTTAACAATAATATACTTTAAAACCTTCCCATATGGAAAAGGTTTGCTAAAAACTCCTGTGATTTGTATATGTTCCAACAGAATATTGTAAGGGACATATGCAAAAACCACATATATAAATTGCATAATATTAATGTATTTTTAATCATATTATGTAATATGTGTTCTACAAACAACTAAAGCAATATAGATTTTCATGAAGTAAAAACAAAAAAATGCAAATTTAATATGAATTTCCAGCATGGATGTGTATAAACAGAGGACAAGATAAGAACCAGCATGAGGGAAGTACAGCCTACTGATTGATTTATTTACTGCACTGAGTCGAGGGGCCTATGCCTGTATCAGTCATGGTTACATACTGTATAATCTGTCTTAGATTAAAAACACAACATTTAAACTACACACACGCAAGCGCACATTTTAATTACAAAATTATTTTTATTAGAATGTGTTCTACAAGATGCAGTTCCATATTTCACATATCAATAGTTTTCATTTTATATCCTGCATCGATTTCATTTTCATTTGTGACAATTTCTCTAAACTTTATCACAGTACTACTATGGTACAACCTACAAACAAAAAACTTTCCTAAATGTTGAAGTGTTGAAGTCTTTATTAACTAAACTGAATATAATTTACTCAATAGTTTGAGTTGAACATACCGAAATAAATGACTAAAACTCCAACAATTAATTTTGTCTGAAATTTACAGTTATATTTAAGTTTTTCACTAAAATAGGCTAATTTAGTTTTTGACTAACCAATTATTAATTTAAAATACACTTAGCTAATATTTGTGAAATTTCCATCTCAATATTTGAGACTGGATAATTAAACTGATCTGTCTCAAGAACCACAAATATTTCTAAAATAAAATCAATATTATTATTTAACACGCATAAGAAATTAATTAAGTTTACTCAATTAAAATGTATTTTACTGTCTATGATTACAACAACGCACCCCTCCCCACCCTCTGACGTGACGACAACTCAACGGTTGAACTTGAGTGAGCGCTGTTTGAACTTGCGGTTGCGCGCTGTTTGAACTCTCCCAGTCCAGAAAAGAACAGATCTCTTCTCCTCTTCTCTTCTCATCGGCGCAGAATTGGAGCATTTCCACCTGACATTAAGGTTTGTTTGTTTTATTTTATCTGTATAATCATTAATATGCTTTAAATAATTTTATTTAATGAAAAAAGAACATACAGAGACGCAATGTTACTCACCTTAAACGAGTGTCGACTTGCGCCTGCCTTTTCGCGTGATTGTAAGGCCTTGCATAAAAAAAAACACACGACTATATTCTTAAAGATAATGGATATAACTAATTTGGATGATAAAATGTCCTCAGAACTGTGCACTGGTTGTTTATTGGCAGGTTATGGAGTCAGTCGCGTCGCAGCATTTTTCGGCTGTGAGTGACGCAGGACGGCGGTCTAAATTTAGAAGTTTCCCCGCAGAGGCGAGTCCATCTCCGGCATGGGAACCAGCGCTGACCCGGTGAATACTGGATAACAGACCGGTTATTACACTTGAATTACTTTAATGTTTAGGCCTAAATGTTTAATTTTTACATCGAAAATGTTTCTTACATGAGTTTAGATGTAGTCAATATTGTACAACTTATGTGTTAAAAATAGAATAAAATATGTTTGCTGTAATGTTAGGATATTAATTGACAATAAAGGCCGTGTCATGTAGTTATGCTGGTGGTTGTATGGAATATTTTACAAAGGTTTAGAGGAAATAAAAAAAGTTAATATTACTGCCATATAAACACAGTTTATATTACTCATAATTATTTGTTTTTAAATGTTTCCCCCCAATTATTTCTACTCAAGTTTATTTGTTAATGTACCAAATGCAGTTACTCAGATCTATTTAATTTGTTTTACTAACATTTACTCAGTTAATACAGTGTAAGTAATTGCTTTCACTGCTTAAAAATTTAATCAATATTCTAAGTTTAAAAAGGTTAGTAAATCATATTAAATGTTTTTAGAGTGCATCAACACCAGAGTTCATGTCACATACTAAAACATATTCGAGCCAATTTTAATCACTGTTCTAGAAACATATTTGATTCAACTTTGTTCATTTGCAATAATATGTTGTTGTTTTTTTATGAATTTTTTTCTTCTGCTGAACAAGAAGAAAGATATTTATTTGGTACCGGTTTTGACATTTTCTCACTAAATAAATTATTGCGATTTAAACATGTAACGTTATGTTTGTTGTTTTTATTTATAATTGTAACGTTAGTTACATAGTTTTAAGAAATGGGTTAGGGTAGGATTAGTGGCTCAAACTATATTTTAATGCTTTATTGTTAATAAAACTGCCATTGCCCTACACATTATGTTCATTACGTTTTATCCTTTTAAAGGGATTGTTCACTTTGAAATTAATTTTTGATTTGTTTTCGCTTACCTCAAGGGCATCCAAGATGTAGGTGTCTTTGTTTCCACAGTATTTTCAACTTTGACATTTTTTGGTCGAACCTGTGTTGTCTGTCAGTCATATAATGCAGGTTTAGGGGGTCCACCTCAAAGAGCATGCACAGAGAAGTCAAAATTAAACATGATTTAATGACTCTTGAATGTAAGTACACACTGATGGCCAAAGACACGAAATGAGCGGAGGGGGTGGAAAACGAACAGTATTTATATAGTTTTTACCTCTTGTAAACAGCCATGTCGAACTGATCTGAATCAGATGTTGCTGACGCGCGAGAGATCACTTCTGGCGTAATGTTGGACACGGTTCGGTTCAGTTTGACATCTGATTCAGATCAGTTTGACATGGCTGTGAACAAGAGGTAAAAACTATATAAATACTGTTTGTTTTCTCACACAAAACGCTCGTTTCGTGTCTTAGGCCATCAATGTGTACTTACATTTACGAGTCATTAAATCATGTTTAATTTGGACTTCTCTGTGCATGCTCTTTGACGTGGACCCCCATACCTGCATTATATGACTGACAGACAACAACGGTTTGACCGAAAAATGTCAAAATTGAAAATACTGTGGAAAAGAAGACACCTACATCTTGGATGCCCTTGAGGTAAGCTAAAACATCAAAAATTAATTTCAAAGTGAACTATCCCTTTAATATTGTCTATAAAATCGGTATGTTTAGGTGTGGGAGTAGGGTAAAGAGATTTTTCATTTATAATCTATAAAATATTCTACTATGTTTTTATATTGCAGCTCCATAAATACTTTTACCGTTTTGTGCAGTCCTCTGGGAATTTTTGCGGTTTAAAAAATTAAATAAAAAAGGTTAAATGTAAGTCTATTTTTCACTTTTTCTGTCTAGTAAACAGTAGTTAATGTCTTAAATCTAGTAGGTAAAATGTCTTGAATCTAGAACCATGTCACTTTTGTTGAGCTTACAAGAAGGTATACACTTGAGATGATTACAGTATGGTAAATTATGGCTTATTATGGCAAAAGAGGACTGCCTAATATGAGTCAGGAATGCTAACTTCAAGGCATTTTGTCTCAAAATGCCAGTTTCCAATCTTATTTCAAGTTGGTGGTGACTTATATCTAGAAGAGTGTAACAATTATAGAACTAAAAATTAGTTAAATACACTTGAAACAAAGAGGATGACAAAAGAAAATGCTACTTTTGAGGGGAAAATGCTATTTTTGAGCATGACAAGCTTATAATGAGACACAAAACATCACAATACTAGTAAAATATAGCTAAAAATGAGTTTTCCCTGCTAATTTCAAGATCACTCATATCTTTTAAGGCTTAAATATAATGTCTTATTTCAAGAAATCTTACCAAGAGAATTTTCACTTGTTCCATTGGCAGATTTTTTTGCTTATTACAAGCAAAAATATCTTGTATTAATTTTTTTTTGCTTATTTTTGGAGGGGCATTTTTTCCAGTGTGTTGTAATATGCCCTCACCCTTGAAAAAACCCCCCAAAAAACGGGGAACTAAGGTAAAAGAAAACATGACCCAGACAACAGTAAATATGGGTAAATTTGTAACGGATGTAAACATGATTTATGCTGACCAATGTGTTTTGTCTAGTCCATTACCACTTATTTAAATTACTCGTATGTCAGCATTTTTTTTTTCATTCGTGATGTAGGATTTATAGCTTTTCCCGACTGGCACGGATAAGCAGAGTGCGTGTGATAAGGTTCACTTCACCTATATCTTGCTCAAGTCTCTTGGCCAAAAAACACATAGAACCTTCTCCTTTTTTCTTAACAGAACAAGCTTCCTTTTAGTAACTGTTAAAATGACTCCAGTGTTCCTTTTTTTTCTAAGGGGATTTTGAGTGAACCCCATGGAATTGGTGTGCATAGACAAGATCTAGTTTCAAGGCTTTGATTTAGTGTGCAGAAAAGCATCCAATCTCACTTTCTCTCTCTCTGTACCGCTTTTGCACGCTTCCTTCCGACTTATGTTTTTATATTCTTCTATGATACAGTACAAGTGATGTACTGTGCCTTCACTGCTGCCTTTTCACGGAATAGGTAAAAATTTCATTAAAATGTGAACAGTGAGTCCATTCAGGCGCCCAGGTTCCACCTGTTGAAATGTAACCAGTCGTATTTGCTTTACTGATTTTACAAGGAAACCTGACGCTCTCTAGCAGACTGTAACATCACAGAGAGGAAGGCAGAGCCTGACTGGCTGAAGCTTTGGCGTTTGGGTGCTGGCCATTCCAAACCTCTAAGTAAAAGACCGGGTCGCAGGCGTCTATGTGTTGCATAGTTTGCTGAGATCAGGATTAAGGCTGAAAATGTGCTGAAACCAGCAATTCCATTTGATTTTGCAATGAAGTTTCATTTTTAATGCAGGACCACCTCAAACATTTATTCTATTTATGTAATCATAGTGTACAATTTATTTTAAATGAAGCTACAGCACATTTATTGTCAATGAACCAACATAGAGAAGGACGATGCCCATGGAGACTTGAAGACATGAAGTCTTGTTGAAAACTCAGGCCGGGAAAACAAATGGATATTTTTGGATTTTTATTATTAGAAGTGAGGATGGTCACAGGCCTACATTAGTCCATGCAGAGTTATTGTCTGTTACATTTTAACAGTTTTCTGTGAATTATGAGGCTAAAAACTCATTCGCCTGCTGTCGCTGATCATAATAATAATAGCTGGGTGAATGAGTCGATTAATTGCACGTGGGCAACTCTCCAGAGTTCTCTCTCTTTAGCAACAAAATATAAATTACACTAGGCTTCTGGAGTTGAATCAAAGTGGCTGAAGCTTCTCAGGAATGATTGAGTCATGCTATTTGGAAACCAGGGCTTTAGAGGGTAATCATTTAGAATCTGTCATAAATGGTGCAGTAAACACTCTTTACAGTACTGTCCATGCTAAAACATGCTAATATGACCACATTTGCATGCCACTTTAGGTTATATGAGTGCTGCACCTGGAAAACTAACTCCTGAGTGGTTCTTTTTGTTTCAGATGAAGAAGGAGCTCAGCGACAACGAATCCATCTCGCAGGAAATAGTTGGCAATGCCCATGTTGAGAATTACGCTATAAAAATGTTCCTCTATGCAGACAGTGAAGATCGATCAGGACGTTTCCACAAGTAAGTCGAGCTCCAGGTTGGATCAGTTGGCATTTTACATCCCCAGAATATTTAGACAGTTTTTTTTCCCCCTGTTTAAATGCACATGCCTTAATTACAGTTTCCTTTCACCGAACCGTGACACAAAATAATCCCACTGTCACTATTGCTCTTACAGAAAGTGAGTAGCAGGCTAAAATTAGCAACAAAGCTGGCTCTGTACAGGGTGGTTGCCTGGGAGTGAGACTGCATGGATTACCCAGGTGTTGGGTTACAGGTCACAGCAGTATAATGAAGCTGTTGTGGACTGTGACGTCATAGGCAGTGCAGTGCTGGTAAAGGGTCCAAGAGCTGAATACCTGGCAGTGACTCAGGCCTCAGGTCATATGGACTGGCACTGGCCAAGCTATTTTAAGTGATTGTTTGGTTTGTTGTGGCTAGATAAACCAAAATAGTGGACACTTCTGGACAGTCACAAATTTATTTTGATTTTGAGAAATTTTTGCTTTTACTCCACTATATTCTAAAGCATAATATGGTTCTTTTTACTCCACTGCATTTCCTAAAAACATGACATTCATCGTTATTTTGAACTGAAGAAATCATCACATGCTCCAAGAAGATTCATTCGGGAATCGGAATGATCCGATTGCAGCTGTTCTCGAGTCAACAACTCACTGATTCAAATTATCTGTTCTGAGCGAGTCTCCAGTTAGCAATTCACTGAATTCACTAGTCCCGACTCAAAATGAGCCAAGAATGGGAGGTCATTTCGTTCATGCCAAATTTTAGGATTATTGTAAAAATATTTGTTTTTTAAAGTAATTTTAAGTAAAGTTGAAAAGGGAGTACTTAATACTTTAACTAGAGTGATATTTTAATCAAAGTGCATGATGTGTACTTTGTCCACCACTTCCTAGAAGTAATCAAATCTCAGAGAAATAGACTTCTGGAAGGATGTTGTTGTAGACGTAAGAACCTCTATGTGGATTGCTAACAAAGTCTTATGTTGACACAACATTCCCTCGTAAGGTCTTGAAATACATTCCGAAATGGATCAACTTTAGCATTTCGTGCCACATTTGCCCTTACGTTCTTTTCCCTTTTCCTGCTGATGAGGTTTAGAGTGGAGATCAGTCTTACCATAGGAAGCTGTCAGACCTGCGTGCACTCCCTGTCCAGAGGCCACTCTTCAGGATGTATTCACATACTAAGGGTTTGTTCAAACAGTGCAAAAGGTGAATCATTGTGTACTTTATGGTATTACTAATAAAAGTGCACGACATTTATCCTCATTCTGGAAAAACAATGCTGGTATTGTCAGCAAGTTCCTTTAAGTTTTCTTGAACATGAATGTAGAATCTTAACCCTAAAAGTTTTATTCTAAAGAGGGAATGAGGTTTTTCCTCAACACATTTTTGCTTTAAAAAGCGTAAGACACGGGCGGTGGAATGGGGGAAAAAGTCCAAGGTCTTGAGACACCGTTTTTTAAAAGTTAAACTCGAGCGTCATGTTTTAAGAAGAACGTGTCTTGTGCGAGACCCTGCAAAAGATGCAAGATGCGAGTGCAATGGTTATACACGTTCATCAAGCTCATTTACATGGAAAAAGAATGGAAAGGAGTGCATTGGAATAGAAAAACACATTCTGTGTGAATGAATAGGATTGTCCAACATCTCATGCTTCCTTATTCTTGAAAGTTTTGACATGTTCATCAGCATGTTTGACTACAGCAGAATTACCAAGGATGATGATTAGAAACACCTAATTAAACTTTTGGTAACATCAGGTTGTTGCCATGTGTGAAAAAATAAATCCACATTTGTAAAGAGAAAAGTAATTTGTCAGGATTACAAGTAGTTGTCTCTTTAGTTTTTTTTTTCTTTCTATTTTGATATGACTAATGTGTTTTTCAAAAGCATCCCTTTGCTAACTTAAGTCTGAATATGTCTTATCCAAATGAATAGAGATTGTTATTGACCTAAATACATTATTGCTGTGTAGCAAGTCAATTTTAAACAATTTTTTTTGGCTAATTGATAATTGTAGAGTAATGTTTGCTGTAAATTCAGCTTTGCCATCACATTAATTTGCATTTTTAAACATATTCAAATAGAAAATCATTATTTTAAAATGTAAAAATTGAGCAATTTACAGAACCTTACCGACCACAAACTTTTGAACGATAGTGTGTGTTATATGCAGATGTTCTTTGTTTTATGAGACATACAACTGGCTTAATTTTAGTGTAAAGAAGTACTAAATGACTGCATTGCTATGTTAAGTTTAATTTTTGTTTTGATCACAGGAATATGATCAAGTCCTTCTACACCTCAAGTCTTCTGTTTGATGTGTTGAGTGTCTTTGGCGAATTATCTGAAGAGGTGAGTCACTGAGTCTTTTCGTCCCCTACATTGTCAACGGAGCAGGGGCGGAGCTACATGGTGGCCAGGGGGGGCCACGGCCACCATTGGTCAAGGCTCGGCCCCCCTGCCGGCCCCCCCTCCCAACCTCACGGGAAAATAAATTTAATAATAATAAAAAATAAAAATAAAAACTCCAGTAACGGTCTAAAAAGGAAGCTGAAATGTATGCATTTTTTAATCAAGTCATTGATTTGTCACTTGTTGGGTCTCGCCCCCATCAACAGTGCGAGACATAACGTGCCTGCATTCTGACAGCGCTTGGGCTGTTTACACCTGGCCACTTCATGTGTTTTCTCAGATCGGATAGCTATCTGATTTATCAAAACGATTCCATTTACACCTGGTCACATAAATTTGTTTTTGCAAAATGGATATAAATCCGATCTTCAATTCCCGCGTTATATAGGCTACAGATTTAATGAAGTGCACGTCACCGAAAGCAACAGCTGCATTTTATTGATCATCGGCTAATTTCAAAATCAGCAAAGACGGTGATAAGAGAGAGCGGCAACAGAACTGGTAAGATCATTTCGTTTCTTTACTTTTAATGAAGATGGTAGTGTTAATCGTCTGCGACTTACTTTCACTTTGATTTGCGATAGATTGCGGCGCGTTGGCTTGCGTTCAGCCGCTCATCTGAGGTGATGATGCGCGTCGCAGTATAGCGTCGTCATTTCTGACTAAAATAGACATGTAGCCTGTAACACGCTCTCACGCGTTTCTTTCTTTTAGCATTTTTGGGAGTATTACCATTTACATATGTGGTTTCAAGAACAAGATGCATTTACACTTGTCCAGTTTCGTCTGGAATGCGGCCCAGACCACCTTCTGAAGTGGTTTGAGTGATCGGATTCAAATCCGTCTCGAATGCGTTTCGGGGTTCCAAATACGTAGCGCTTTAGAACCTTTTAAGGTTCTATATTGAACCATTTCTTCTAAGAGTTGTTACAGCAGACACAAAGCGAACAGAACTTTTCAGGGTAACACATTAGAATACGGTTCCTTCGTTAATGAATAACTACACAAGAACCAATGAGTAACACAATATTAACAATCTAGTAACTATTATTAACTAACAAGAAACTCTGATTAACAAACTAGTAAAAGCGCACAGATGAAAGTGGTACTTCACTATTAAGTAATCAATAACTTCTATTTTTTTAATACTTCCCAGAGAACTACTGAAAAAGTTTATTAACAATCTAGTAACTACTATTAACTAAAATAAACTCTTATTAACGAATTAGTAAGTAATAGCTCACAGATGAAAGTGTTACTAGATAGTTCTGTGGGAATTACTAATTATTTGGATTCGTATTATAAAGTGAAGATCATTGGAACTAACTAGTAATGACTCAAGTGTTACTAAAGACATTTTCTAAAAGTATACTAAAGTTCACCAAAAATCTCAAATGGTTGCACAAATCATGACTAGATCATGTAGTAACACTTGAGTCATTACTAGTTAGTTCCAATGATCTTCACTTTATAATACAGATCCAAATAATTAGTAAGTACTAGCTCATAGATGAAAGTGTTACTAGATACTTCTGTGGGAATTACTAATTATTTGGATCCGTATTATAAAGTGAAGATCATTGGAGCTAACTAATGACTCAAGTGTTATGATCTAGTCATGATTTGTGCAATCGTTGTAACTTGTTGTATTATCACAAATAAATTGGATGTTGCACTTAAAATGCAATGGTTTACCTAAATAAATTATCGCCTAATATGACAATTCATTTTGTGTCTTTCTGTCATTTGCACTAAAAACATCCCTGTGTCATGTTAAGGTCCCTAACCCCTCACATAATGATGACACATTGCACTCGCACATTTATCAATTAGACATTATTAGTGTCATAAGGGAGTTCAATCCATTGTTTATGGCCTGGCGAGCCGCGTGTGAGTTTTAGTAATAGTAGTTTTTAACAATCAAGTGCCACCCCAAATAAAAGACTGACACAAGCTGGCCCCCCCAGAAATAATGTCCTGGCTACGCCCCTGCAACGGAGTGGTCTATATTTTGACGGCAAGGCTAATAAGACAGAGTTTTGTGTTGAAGGGACATAAATATGGTCCTGAGATGTGTTTCTTGACACAGTCCCCCTGTTTCTGATGGCACAGACACAACCTCGCCTAATTTAGTGGAACGTGAAAACGTCTAATGGAATCAAATACGTCATTAGAGCCATGTTCTCGTGTTCAAATCTGAAAACTGCTATGAAAACGTGGAAATTAATGGGAAACTGTAAAAGTGAGCCCAAGGACTGACAACGCCTCACCAGTCTCAATGTACACAGAGGTTTTGAGAGGCCAGTTCTTGGCAAATTTGTGCCCGGAAAGTGTTGCTAATCCACCAGCTGAATCTGTGTATTTCCAGTGTGCCTATTAGACCATCCCTACTGGTCGCCATGGCCGCAGATGTCTCTTTTATACAGAGGGGAAGTGACCTGTGTCCGAAGATGGACAATGTTTCATTGAATGTTCTTCTCTCCCTAAGGGCCAGACATTTTCCTACTGTAGAGAGCTCATTGGACTGACTGTTTCAACAATGAGCTCTCAGAATCGCCCTCCATTACTGTGCTGTTTCTCTCTGACAATGCCACAAGGAGTTGTGCCATATTAAATTACTTGAGGAAAGGGAACTTTTTAGTGCTAGACTTAACAGGACTCGGTACTAATGTATGTAAAAGTAGAGGTTGAGATGTGAAAAGGGCTTCAGGAGTCTGCAAAACCCTTTTAATGGATGTGAGTTGGTGGTGTAATTATGGGTTTCAGCACACTTCAGAGGGATGAAAATAAATCAGATACACTCAAATCATTAGACCTAAAAGAAATAAAAATATATATAATTACTGTGCAAATGTAATAAGTACAGGTCTTAAATAATATGCTAAATGTATTGCATTAGTTTTTCTCATTGGTCCTTGTGTAAAGTTAACAAAATAGCTGTTATGAAGACTAGGTAAAAATGATAGATTTCTATCAATTTTAAATGATTAATCAAAATCCCAAGAATCCCAAAATCTTGCTGTTATCAGTTGATGAATGAACAGAACATTGTAGAGCACAACCCATCAAATAAATCACAATAGGCTTTGTTACTTTTGAAATGAAACAAAGTCTCAGATTTCAAATTCTGTCCCTTTTATTATGAAATTCAAACAATAAATACCATTTGGCTGCTTTTTAATGTGCTGTGACCGATACATTACTATTGATAAGCCTAAATGTTTTTTTTTTTAGCACCAAATCAGCATGTTAGAATGATTTCTGAAAGTAATGAGTAATGATGCTGAAAATTCATTCATAGTTGTCATCAGAGGAATAAATTACATTTTTAAATTATTTCACAGAATTACAGTTAATAAAGAGCACAAGAGACAAAAAAAAACAACTTTTGACAGGTACTTTACATGATTTTGACAGGTACTCTACATGATAAAGTACATTTACTTTATGTTCTAAGAAAAGGGGCCCCGTACTTATAATTCAGTAATATTGTTGATTGAACTGTACTGACACTATTGGATGAGAACAAAACCACTTTATAGCAGATTTTACTTTATAAAATGAACTGAATCAACACTGAACTGACTTCAGCTGAATAATGACACTGTCTTTTTTAGAGCTAATTTACAGCAGTATTGAATTCTATTTGCATTACTGATTCTGTTATATCACAGTAAAGTTTCTTTGATACAATCTGTATTGTATAAAGCACTGTATAAATAAAAGTGACTTGACTTTACAAGGGAGTGTCATTATATTTGGTGGTACTTGACATCAAAAAGTATGAAAACCGCTGATTGTAATAAATATTGGGTGTCTTTAACATATTGCGTAAGCCATTCAAGGAATTTTTCCTTTGCAGCCCTTAACTGACATCAGATCCCTTTTAATACACAGCTTCTCATGTCTTATTGCTTTATTTGACAACAATGCAGAACATGCCAGTAATTAAACTCACATTCATGTGTGAATGTACCGTAATCGTAGTCTTGAGTGAATCATTCATCAGTCAAGTGATATCCATGTCATATCCAGCCAAAATCCTAACAAATCTGATCTGCTCCTTTTTTCATTAATTGCGCATATCTTATCTTAATGATTCAGTGATTGACTCTCCCCTTTTCCACTACTTTCCAGAACATCCAACACAGGAAGTATGCCAAGTGGAAGGCAGCCTACATCCACAACTGCCTGAAGAATGGCGAGACTCCGCAGCCCGGTCCTATTGGAATGGAGGGGGAAGCATATGGTAGGTGCTGATATTATATCTGCTCCCCCAGAATGATCCTGTGACTCCCATTAACAAAATACACACCAGCCAGGGGGCTTTCCTTCAGGATTGCAGAGGGGCTTTCTCCATGTGTTGTTTCTGAGTCAGTAAATGTTAGCACATTGTGTGCCTTATCAAAGTTGTGAAGAACACAGGAGATGACTGGCTCGCCCAGTGAGCCTCCTCCTGCGAGTCAGCACAGGCTGCTATTTATGTAGTGATTATTTTAACAATCAGGAGATCAGGGTTCCCACCCCTTTTAATAGTGTGAAAATTATTCACTGTTGAGTAGCCTAACTATTTTACAGTTAAGGATGGTCATTAGGAAGGAAAGGGCTGAAGCATCACATCAAGTTAGTTACAGAGTGAATTCGGACCGAGTCAGAGTTTAAATTTGTCTTTAAAAGTGTATTAGAACAAGTGCAATACAGTACTTGTAAACAAAACATGTTGTTTCCAGACAGATTTAAAACAAGGGATTAGTTAAGCCAGCCAAACAGATTACAGCTTGCCAGAGAGAGAAAGTACTTTCAATTTTGTTATGATTACTAAATAGGTGTTGTCTGAAGTTTAATCACCTTCTTAACTGAAGTAGTTTGATGTCAGAAGTACCTGAATGGGTTTATAGGAGGACTGGAAAAAATAATGACAAACTGTAATAGGAATTTGCACTGTGGTGGCTGCAATTAAAGGGATGGTTCACTTTGAAATTCATTTTTGGTATGTTTTAGCTAACCTCAAGGGCAACCAAGATGTAGGTGTCTTTCTTTCCATAGTAGTTTCAATTTTGATATTTTTAGGACAAACCGTTCTTGTTTGTCAGTCATATAATACAGGTTTATGGTCACCACCTCAAAGAGCGTGCACAGAGAAGTCCAAATTAAACATGATTTAATGACTCGTAAATGTAAGTACGCATTGATGGCCTGAGACACGAAACGAGCGGTTTGTGTGCGAAAACGAACAGTATTATATATTTTTTACCTCTTGTACTTTTCTCTGTGCACGCTCTTTGAGGTGGTGACCATAGACCTGCATTATATGACTGACTGACAAGAATGGTTTGACCTAAAAATTTCAAAACTGAAACTACTGCAGAAACAGACACCTACATCTTGGATGACCTTGAGGTAACCAAAAATTTATTTCAAAGTGAACTATCCCTTTAATGTCTCAATTTCTATTTCTATTTTTCTGACAGAATAGAATGAATGTATTACCATTCAGCATAACTGTGCTTCTCGTGCAGCATATGTAGTTTTGGATTGCCTGTAGCCAGTGTTTGACATTACATTCAACAAAAAAGGATGTTAGAGTAATGTAATCGATTCAACGAACACGGATAGATTGCTTAATGGTTAATTGCTTATGTTTTGCTATAAAAAATTGGAATGCTTAATTCATTAATTTTGTTTTGAGTTACACAAGCAAAAGATTTGGACATTTGGAGAGGAAAAGGTCATTTCATCCTCCTAAATAAAGTGTTTACACAATAGCAATACCAAACCCATTTCCTCTTGAAACTTTATTTAAATAAATGATCACCAGACGAAAACCATGGCCGTGCCAATAGCATATAGCAGGGTTATTAAACTTCATCAAGAAGTGGGCCAAATGAAACATTCATTGGGGCAGGCCCGAGCTAGAATATTTTGTGAATGAAATCAGTAGAGCATAGTTATGTTATTATATATTTGTTCATTTAAAAAAAAAAAAGTGGAAAAAACAAAAAAACATTTTTTATTATTTTAGGAGAAAGATTTTTACCTAACCTTAATTCAGAAAAATGCATAATTTTTTCATAAAGATAATAAATCAGACTGATACTAGTGCCTTTTCACATTGTAATTTTTCAGTTTGGATGATTGGATGACCATAAGACTGGTTTTAAAAATGAATTATTGACGGATGACACATACGCTCTCCACAGAGTGCATGCAGTGACACATTTTCCCATCAAGGAAAGAAGTTTCGGAGAAATAGAGTGAAACAAAAAAAAAAACTAGCAATCTCAAGAGAGTCACTGAACCTTTTAAGCAGGAATTCAAGTTGAATAGGCCTGGAATATAGCATATTTATGAAGTAGAATATGCAAATTTATGTATCATGAGTCCAGATATTTGTGAACACCTTTTGCAGTTAGGCTAAATTTTGAACCTCTTAGTTTAATATTGCCACCAACTAAATTGTTGCATGGTAAAAGCGTGTCTTGTGATGATGTGAAAGATGTGAACGTTTGACTGCATGATCATGTATTTAAGAAGGTTGTTGAAAAGAATTGTTCTCCTTCAAGTGCAGGTCAAAGTAGTGCTTGGCGGTGGGGTTTAGTTAGATCACTTTTCTCTCCACATCTGCTGGGCGTGCTGCTTTTGACCTGACCTGCTCATGTCAGAGATGAAGTCATCTGTAGACTGAACCGTTGGGACGTACGCATGCACCATATGTTTCTGTAGTATGTGCCATACTCTTATAATGTCTGTATCTGAACAGTGTTTTTTTTTTTTCATTCTGCTTATTTTTAACTGTTGTTAAAGCTCATGTAACAAATGTTTTCTTCATGTTATAAATAATGATATTTAAATTGTATTTATTTAGCTTTACACCTAGCAGCTGGGCCCCTCTTGTGAAGTGGTGACCTCATGTTTGGTTATTCCCAATGATGTGCAGCATTGCCAAAACAAAAATGTTACGTGATAGCATGCTTTTTGCCTTACGGAGTTTAAGCACCTTATCACAGTATTTGTCTCGTTCCATGTGTCCGTCAAATTTCCTTTTCCAAGGAGGTCCACGATAAAACCTATTATAACAATACGAATTCCAAGATGTGTTTATGTGCTGTGTAACAAACACCAGACCTTGTTTGAGGTCAGACCTGCATTGGGTCAGCTGATAAACTTCGTTTTCTGTTGTTCTCACCAATTAATCATGTTCTTCCTGTGCATATGGGACCCCAGAATGACAACTAACACTTTCGCATTCATCTTATCCACCTTATTTTTCATAGCAGAAGTGAACTGTTTTCTGTGAATGTGCAAGAATTCCTATTCATATTGCTTCGATAGGTAAACAACTAGAAGAATTATAAAGTGCAAGAAGCAGTTAAAATATTTGTGCTACAAACCATTGTTTTCATGATTATGATAATACATTAAAATATGATAACAAATAACAGTTTGCAATGTCAAGCAGTATGACAGACTGTTTTTCTATAGTTTAAATATCAGGAAGCGGATGACACCAGAAGCCTTGAAGTTACAGTTGGTTGCGGTCGCTCTAACATCAAAAAATATGGTGCATTTCAACATATCATGAAAGCAGCCTGAAATTTTCTATTATACAGGAAAAAAATGTGTTATTTCCACTAGCAAAGAAAATTGCTTTTTTTTTCCTGATTACATGGGGTAAATGTTTTAACATTTTATATTAACATTTAATTTGTTCAGTTTTACTGTTAAAGGGAGAATGTGCCATCAGTACAGAAAAAAAACGACAAAAATCGGTGTTGCCTACACCGTGTTATCGCCTTTTTAAAATTCGCACCCTGTTGACTTCAATGGGGCATGTTCTTTTTTTTTTTTATTTTTTATTTTTTTTAATTCTTTATTTATATTCAGCAAGAAATAATTACAGAATAAAAGTGATGATGAAGAACTTTACATTTGCTGTTGTTTTTTTAGAACAGTACATATATATACTTTGAACAAATAGGGAGAGATAAAGTTGTGCATTACAAAGTATACAAATTATATATTTGGGGCATGTTCTAAACCTGCTTTTTTGTCGTTTTTGTCTTTACTGACAGCACTCCAAATGTACAAAAAATGAGCTCAATGTTAAAATTGACCAGAGTTCTCCTTTAACAATGAATAGATAAATATTATAATGGTTGCCATTATTCCATGAGACTATACAATTACAAATTCTTTTATTATGCATTAAAGCTAAAGTGTTTAAAAAAGGAAAAGGAAGGCAGAGTAAAAAAAAATAAAAAAAAATGTGGTTATCAAAATTATGCCACAACAGCTGCTTGAACTTAACTTGTGTTTGAATGTGGAATATTCCTTTAAGAGCCATACTAGTGGTATTGTCTTCTGGCCGAGTTTGGCTTTCCAACTTACGGGAATATATGCACAGCAAGCACGCCCTGGGGCATGGGAAAAAGGCTTATTTGAAGGAAAGAAAACTGATCTGTAACAACTTACTCAATTAGTATACTATTCCTAAGACACATCTACAGTGTTTACACCAGTAGCTGTTCGTTTCCTGGAGTAGGCTTTGCACCCGTGCCATGACTCCATGGAAAGTAAAGGTCTCTTTACTGTAGCCCAGTTGAGAAATTAAGGTCAAACAGAAATGTGCTCCAGTGTCAGGACAAGTACAGCTTGGAAAAAATTAGACGTTTAAAAAGTCAGTGAACAACATGCTGAAATCATTGTCTAAATGTCTCTTTTGTAGTTTTCAGGTAGTTATCTGTGGATTCCTCTATTTAAATAGTTTTGCATTACATAGATTATATAACCAAGGTTGGACTAAATTGAGACAAATGCAACAGGCATGACCATATGTATACTTGTACTGTATGATTATGGATAACATTTTAACTTTATGTAGCATGACTGATTGCAAAACATGATTTGGACATGCCACAAATTTAATTATTCCTCATAATGAACCCCCTTTTGAACGAAATCACCCATAACTGTTTTGATTGCTGCTAGTTTTTATTATGACAGCGTCTCCTCCCATTGCAATGTTGCATGCATGTTACAATTCGACAAATGACTTCTCTCTCATGTTAAAACAATTCCATCTGTTCACAATTTATCCATTCCCTCCCTGCCACTAATTAGCACAGAATACATTTTTCTTTTAAATGTAATGTAGGTCACAATTTTTGGCCAGCTGCAGTCGAGTTCAGTCGAGCACACCCTTTGAAATATTTCATAATTCGGCTATCAGCGCAGATCAATAATAAATAAAGAGTCATATTGGCAGAGAGAGCTTCTCTTAAGCCTCATGTTGACTTTTACAAATCCGTAGTGTGCTAGAGCCAATGTTGTTTCCCCCTCCATCACCTTACTGCTTAAAAACAAAGGCCTTTCGGAGTTTGCAGTCTTTTCATTAGTGAGACCTTTAATAGAGTTTAGAAATTAAAGGACAACTCCTGCACACAATGAACCTTTGGTCTAAATACACATTTGTACCTAATCATCTGAGATTTGTTTTCATGATAATCGAAAATTGTTTATCATGAAAACAAACAAGTTTAACAGCTCTTTTTTGTTATGCACTGGGTAGTGAAAGGTAGGTTTTATGCACATTGATCCAGCAACAACTACTCACAAAATAAATCTGCTTATTTATTTACTGTATCATTTTTTGTCATTGGTTACAGCCTTTCTTTTTTGTTTTAAACAGCCTTTTCTTTTCGTGCTGATTTGTAAGAGCGCAATTGATCTGTTTAGAGAAGTGCCGGTGCTTAGTTGAATTATATGTAGATTACTCACCAGTGGTGTAGTACTCGGACTCGGTCTCGAGACCATATTTTAATGGTCTTGGTCTTGTCATGGACTCGGAATTGACTCGTACTCAAACATTTTTTTTTTTAGGACTCGGACTTATTCCCGAGTCCACTCGTGTTCAATTCAAAATATTTTTCATGATTATTAATGTATGTTAATAAAATATTTCTTTAAATTGATTGACATGCCAAGTGATTGGTGATTTTCCTAGTGCGAAACTGCGCATGACAAATTGTAATAAAATTGCTTTTAACACCACCTACTATGTGGCCTTTTTACCCTAAACTGATCATATTTTTTAAACTCTAAGTAAATTCAGTAAAAAAAAAAAAAAGGATTTCTCTAAGTAAATAAAAGTAAATTAGGTAATCAACCCTCACTGGTCTCGACTTGGACTCGACCGTCTCTGGTCTCGGACTCGACTCTCTATGGACTCGGTCTTGACTCGGACTCGACTCTCTCTGGTCTCGGTCTAGACTCGGACTCGAGTGAGGTGGTCTCGACTACAACACTGTTACTCACATAGACAAAATGAGCATTAATTTCTATGTTCTGTGAAGTTTAGTTCTACGTGGGATTTATTCCCTTCATTGCTCTTAGGAAAAGCATGATATATATTCAGGTGTTCAGAATACTCTCCAGAGCCACAGCTTGTTTATGCAAAGCTCGGCTCTTCATCCAGCCCTTTTCTGTGGATTATGGCTCTAAAGAACTGAAGGGATGGCTTTTTGTGCTGCTATCATTCAGTAATCACAACCTCTCTTTTCACTATAGCAGTACAAAGCTATCTTGAGTATAGACTTTCGTGGTCCTAGTCTGCCAGCTTATGGCCTTATTCACAATTCCTCATCCACCTGCAGCATCGCTCGGAGAACACCACTTTTCTCCAAGATTGACCAGGAATCCCCCTAATCTGTGGCTAATGAAGTCCCACTGCACAGAAACCATGTGAAGGCCTTGTTTTCATAAGAGCATAATGTTTATTTGACTTGCCCCACCCTTATTATTTCTCTGCCGATTATGAAAATAAACCCCCTGACACATGTCTGGGCAAAGGAAAGTCGTCAAAACAGCATGTTTAAATCAACCAAATTTGGACATGTGTTTTTCATATGCTTTATTTACTTGTTCCTAGTGATGAAATGTTAGATTTGAAATTTTACCTTGTTATTAAATGTTGCTGATGCAGGCAAATATATATGGCGCTAACCTCTAAACTGTGTTTTACTGTAATATAATATTTTTGCAAAATTGAATCTGCCCAGGGGCTTTTAGAAACATTATGATTCTGGGGATTGATGTTAAATTTCAAATGGAAGAACACTGCCACAGTTTGTTGAAATATCTTGCTTCTTTTCTTGTTCTATATATTTATATTCATCACTCATTTTGGGGTGTCTTAGGGTTCAACTCGCAGTTGATTGAATTGGTTTTGTGTCATGACTGCTCTCATCAACTTATTCCAGGGTTTTGATGGGGGGAAAAAGTGTGTAACTCAAATCAGATCGCATTAAATGGTCACTTGTGTAAAAGATTAGGCTGATGAAATTCCACAGGTCCAAATTTCACATTTTTATGCAGTGTTTGTTTCACTCTTCTGCCAAGCATCACCTTACTTACAGTAAATTGTGTTGGTACTTTCAGATTGAAGCCACTTCATCAAAGGCTTGACTGGCAATGAGAGTCATTTGTTCCATGATTTGTATTCATGATAAAATTATGCAAGAAAACACGGGCATATTTTCAACACTCAATGGGATAATGTGAGAAAACAGAAAAGCCTGATTGGTACTGGCAGCAGACTGTTCCGGGCTCCATTAGTTGTGGAAAAATGACTCTAGGAAGGCATTAGTTTTATCAGTACTCACAGAACAATGGCTCTTTTTTTAAAAAAAAGTCAAACTTTCTGGGCACTTTCACAACAAGCTTAATTTTGACAGTGCAATGCATGAACATATGTGCTTGTTTTTTCTCCTTCCTTTAGATGATGAGTTTGGCGCCGAGGGTGGTGGTCCTTCACAAGCCCCTTACGATCCACCCCAATCCCAGCCTTCTTTCCACGGCCATCCATCAAACCAACCCCCAGCATCCAATTTCAGTAATATTCAGATACCTCCTGGGTCTCACGCCCCAGCCAATACACCTGCAGATATTCCCCATCCAGAAGGTAAGCCTGAGCTTTAGTGGAATTATTACTTTACAACCATCTGCCACTTACCAATATATACGACTGCTCAAAATATATTCTCTTATTCAGAGTGGATGCATTCAATTGATCAAAAGTGACAGTAAAAACATTTTTCTTTCAAATGAATTAAACTTTCTATTCATCCAAAATTTCTGGGAAAAGAAAATATGGTTGCCACAAAAACGGTTTTCAACTTTGATAAAAAAGTGTTTCGTGAGCACCAAATTAACTTATCATAATTATTTCTGAAGGATCATGTGACACTTAAAGATGAGTTATGATGCTTAAAGTTGTCACAGGAATAAATTATATTTTTAAAAATATATAAAAATAGAACATGGTTTCTAAGTTGAAATATATTTTACAATGAAATTTTTTACTCTATTTTTGATCAAATAAATGCAGCCATGGTAAATGTTGTCAACCCCAAACCTTCAAACTTTTTAACTTTCAAATATTTGAGTATTTCCTCTATTTGTGTGAGCAAAGCAGCAAATGTTGTCAGAATGAATCACTCTAACACCAATTGTCATTCAATAACTCTAATCCCGTGACTCAAACATACAGGTTAATTAGTATTTCTCAGAGTGCTTGGACAGAGCTGTAGTGTATTTGTATTTATATTTCCCATTCTGGTTTCCTGTTTTCCTTTTAAACAGCATAAAGGTAGGCTGAGGGTCCCCATGAAGGGCATGTTTCCCTTGGTAGCTGCTGTCCTATGTGATTAGTACCTCAGCTTCCAAACACGGAAATTGCAACTAATCTGCAACATGGCACCCCACATGCAGCCACTTAATGTGATCATACATTACATGTACTCATTTCCTTGCTCGTGTGTTTGACTCCTTGTCAGCTCTAAGACTCTTTAGATGAAACCAAATTGAATGTGGTTTCATATAAAATGTAGCATTTGTTATTTTTTGACTTAAGGATAGATTATGCTCAGCCATAGCTAAGCCTATTTAACTCTGAATCAATTACAGTGGTGGACTTGTTAATGCGTCCATTACAGTTTTTCAACATTCAATCAGCCATGATTGCGTGCATTTATCTTGATGATTAAATTGACTTTTTTCCTTTCTTTTGGAGCAGCACAGCCCATCAAACCAGTGCCTGTTCCACGAGCCATGCCAGTGGTCGATCCTTCGCTTCTAAACATTACCCAGGAAGGTAAGCTTCTTGTGTGAAGACAACAACTATACAGAAATCCAATCTCATCGAACCCGGCAAATAATCGTGACAGGAAGAATAGGACCTCATTTCACCAACATGATTGATCTCATTTTCTGCTCAAATAGCCAGAGGAAAAAGCACACATTGCAGTGGCTTTTCTAAATAAATTAATGCTTTGTGGAAAGCAGATTCACGGTTTTGGCTTTCCAAAACGGGATGACCGCAGACGAAGCTCAAGATGACATTCCCTCACTATCATTCACTGTGTCACTATAAGAATTAATCCTGATTGTGTCCGAAGCTAGTGTTGCTAATTAAATAATTTGGCTAATGATTGAGGTCATTTCTGACTGCCTTTTATTGTTGCAATGGTCAGAAATAGATCAGAATTAAAGATTTGCAGTGCAAGACGCAATTTGTCACAAATTTGAGAAGACAAAAGTTACTATTCTAGCCCAAACCAGTCATGTATACATTGACAACAGAGTCTCATTTGATATTGTTTTGGATAATTGAAGGCTGTCTGATATCATAACAGGTGCCCAGATTGGGACAAATAAGGAAGACAATATATAGATATTGAAAAAAAAAGAAAAAGTCCACAACCTCAATATGAAAAGTTTGCAATGTCATACTGCAAATTGCTTTTCTCATCCTCTCCTAACCTTCAGTGTCTTTCCGGGACAACAGATTGGCCATGACATTGTCTAATTGGTTTGAAGGGAGTCTGTGCCTCATAAGACACTAATTGGGCATGTAAAACATGGCTGTGAATGTGAGGTGTTGTTTTAGGGGTTGTCCTCCAAGGGTTGGAAATGGTCTTTGAATCCAGGGATTAAGGCGCCGATGTACTTCAAGCTAAATCGAAGATTGAACTGATGTGATTTAATTTCAAACAAAACCAGGCCGATGAACTGTGTTCGTTTTGGGAGATCGAAACAGCTTGCCAAAGCGAAATCTCCGGAAAAGTGGATTACTTCTTTAATCCAGTTTCACCGTCAGTGTAATCATGTCTCCTTTAAATTTATGTAATTCAGTTAGTTGCCAAGGCAATTATTATTTTACATTTTTATTTCAATGACTGAATATTTTAATTTTAGTTAACAATAGCAACACTAAATCTGATTTGGTTGTTGGCTTAACATTTCATACTAAGCCAATAATATGATATTATATAAACTATATACACAGATACAAAGTTCTCTTGTGGCTCATGGAGTCTTCATACAGACGATAAATTCCTTTTCTAAACCCATGCTCATCCAATCCCTGTTTTTCAGAGTAGTTACTGGTGATCAAAAATATTCAAGTCATTCTAATACAATCTTTGATTGTGCATTCTGCATTATTTTCGATTGATCAGCATATAGACCATTTTGCAAGATGTAAACAACACTGGTCTAGAAAGACTTCCTGTTTCAGTTTGTAACTGTTTTCACATGTAAAGAAAACATCTTAAAGATGTTTGTTTAACTTTTTGATTCAGTTTTATAGTTTCTGTTGGTTGTATTTTATCCCAGCTTTTATGTGCGTAGTGTTAAAAAACTGAAAAAGGAAGTGCTTCTGGACCAGTGTTGTTTACATCTTGCAAAATGGTCTATAAGTAGATTCATATTTGTAAATGTATCACATAAGAATGAACCATTGAAACTTCTTTTCCACATTTTACCCCCTCTACATCCAAAGTCGACCAAGGTCATAACATTACCAGTATTTTAACTTGTTGAAATGTTCTGAAGTCGAGCATCTCAGTTGAGACCGCTGTGTGGTTCTAGTCTTCGCAGTCTGTGTGTACTTCACTAATCGAGGTGCAAGCAATGCTTTTGAATGAGACAAAGACGTATTGTGGTTAAATATTAATACTGGAGAGGAGACCGGATCTAGAGATCTTTTTTAGGTTCCCAGAACTGCTGTACCTTAAACTGTTTTGAAAGCTCTCAAGTGTTTTGGTGGTCTTCTCTGCCCAGTTCGTTATTTTGTTCCCACATTATGGATTCAGCTCAAACTGTCACTCAGAGTGTCTTTCTGAGAGCCAGCATAGTTTACATTGTGGTAAAGGCATTTGTGCACCATGACTATAATATTTCAAATGCCTGAAGTTAAGTATTCATAAACTAGCCCAACCTCAACTCACCCTATAATTTAATGTGCTGTTTGGCACTGGAGAGACATGCATGTGTGAAATGGGTGCTTTGCTTTTCCAGAATTTTCCCCCGGGATACGTTTAAATACTTTGGTAATAGTGTCTGTGTCTTTCTCATATTATATTTGTATCATTTATATATTCCCTATTAATTGATAGCTAATGTACACTACCATTCAAACACTACCATAAATAATTTTCTTATGCTCACCAAGGATGCATTTATTTAATCAAAAATACAGGTAATATTGTGAAATATTATCACAATTTAAAATATAATGCTGATTTGATTCTCGAGAACATTCTTTTTATTATTGTTCATATGTTTGTCCAGTGATGCATTATTTTCAGGATTCTCTGAATATAAACCACATTTATTTGAAATATAAATATTTTGTACAATTATAAATGAATTAAATCTGTCACTTTATAGATTTAATGCATCATTAGAGAATGCCGCTAATAATTTGTTTTGCTCTTTACAGGAGACTTGCGGCTCACACCAGAAGACTTTACTCTGGCTCAGAAATACTGTAAATATGCAGGCAGTGCACTGCAATATGAGGATGTGGCCACTGCCGTCCAGAATCTGCAGAAGGCCCTGAAGCTTTTAACCACTGGCAAATAATGAAACCATTGTGCTGTCCCCCTTAAAACCACTTTATCAGAGATCTGGCCCAGATGAACTGAAAAAAGGGCCATTTCCCCAGCCCCATCTGTATCGAAAAGAGACGCTCCCCAGGACACTCTCACATCACTCAATACAACATCTGTTTCGGTCATATTGGATGTCAATAGCTTTTCATTACTAGACCACTGAGACAAAGATGCGACACTAATAACATCAGGTGCATGTGAAAGACCCTTTCAAATTCTGAGGAGTTAATACATATTAATGGTTTGAAGTTTTCTGGCTTCGCAACTATTTGGTATTTGGACATGACAGCATGTCTCAAGATATCTATTAAACCAGAACTCTCATCTTTTCCTCAGGCTCTCTGAAACATGAGCATTAGAGTGACTTTGCTCTTAACTACTTTTACTACTTTCTGTTCACTCCTATGTATATGCTTAAGGTGGAAGGTTTTTGCCGTTAGTGAAGCGTTATTATTATGATCAACAATAAATCTTTTTTTTGACTCTTATTTGACTTTTTTTTTATCATTTGCAGTGTATTTTTTCCTTTGTATAATAATCGTTTATGAAAAATGAGTCGTACTCGCAAGTCGTAAGTATTCTTTATTTTCCTTTTTGGTGTTTAAATGTTGCCAAATGCTGCTTAAAGGAGTAGTTCACTTTTAAAAAATCTTTTGCTGATAAATTTACTCACCCCCTTGTCATCCAAGATGTCCATGTCTTTCTTTCTTCAGTCGAAAAGAAATTAAGGTTTTTGATGAAAACATTCCAGGATTTTTCTCCATATAATGGACTTCAATGGGAACCAAATGGTTCAAGGTCCAAAAGACAGTTTCAGTGCAAACTGCAAACTGTTCAAAGGGCTTTAAACGATTCCAGACGATGAATAAGGGTCTTATCAAGCGAAACGATCGCTCATTTAAAAATTTTTTTTTACAAAGTTTAAGTTTTATAAGCTCAAATGGTCGCCTTGCTCTGTTCTGTGATGCACGTTTGTGACTCTCCTATTCGAACTCATTCATCAAAAGCAACGAATCTTTTCCAGAGTCAACTGAACCAAATGACACGAAAAAAGATTCTTCGTTTTGATAAACTAGAACAGGAGAGCTTAATTTCTTTTCGACTAAAGAAAGAATGACATGGATATTTTGGATGACAAGGGGGTGAGCAAATTATCAGCAAAAGTTTTTTATGCATTACATTATGTAAACAATTAGCATTAGTTAGAAAATGAATAAGAATTAGAAGTGTTAACTGGCTTCTGCAGACAGTCTTAAATCAGTCAATTAAAAAGCCAAATCAATTGGAGCCTTTTGTGCAGTTTATTTGACTAGATTAAATGAGAAAGACTGGTATTTTCTCCTTCACTGTCATTAATGCTTGGTACTTTGTTCATATTTGAATTATTGCCAGTAGCAGTAAGTATTCCTGCTAATTCAAATATGAGCGTGATATTGCATTTCAAAGGCTCTGAGTTTAGTTATATGGGTAATTTTGTTATTTATTAGGCACAACCCATTTAGCCAGCAATATGCATGAATGAACTCGGTCAGTTCAGTGTGCATATGCCGGAATCAATTAATTACAATAGATGGTTCCTGTTGTTTTCTGCCCAACTTGCGATTCTTGCGGTTGAATTAGCGGTGCCTCTGTTTTCCTCTCTCTCCACAGTTTAGCCTGAAGTGTAATAGAAAGGGCATTGACTGAGCTATCACTACATGCATCTGCATTTGCCTGAATCCTTTCCTGCCTCATTGCGGATGCAAATGAACATCACCTGGGATTTTCCATCCTTACCTGTCTTACTCCTTTGTACTCGGGTTTAATTGGCTCAAGTGAATATATTGCTTCTGATAAAATCCATCTAGGAGTGCATATCCATTGACATGGAGGAGGGTTGGACCATAATGGCTTTGTCTTTTAACCTTTTGAATTCTGATTGACTATACATTCTTCAGATTTCATGACTTTCTAATCTCTCTTTAGTGTTTTAATGGTGTATTTAAGGGTATTGACATTGACGTGCACAGATAAAGTTTATTACTTGATCGCTATCAGTGCTGTGGGAATCGAAAAACTGGTTCATCTTTTTTTCCCTCCCTATAGCGTTATGAAAATTGACCGTCTTTTGCATTGGCTATTGAGCTAAGTAAATAAGCAATTATTAACAGCAAAGCATTTGAAAGGATTATGGCTCTTTAGTTGTTTTAAATTCGAAATCTTCAGGCAATTTCCTGTGTTGTGGTGATAAAACGTCAATGTGGCTGTAAATCTCAAATACTAAACAAAACATAAATGTAGCTAGCCTATAATAAATGTCCATGTTATTGTCTATGGTTTCTCACACCCACAATAGATCAAAACCTAACAGTCCCCACAGAGACACTATCTGATTCAAAGAAAGAGGCAGGCTCTTCATCCATAAACATTGGCAATATTTGTAGTATTATTCATACATCAGCTGAATAGGAATTGGTTACAACTACATAACCTGAAATTTCTGTAGAGCATGATATTTGACCTGAATGCTAAAATGTAAGTATCTGAGGTACATGCAAATACAGTTATCCGACTTGTAGGAACTATCTAACTGGAACATCTTCTCTGACGTTGAAAACAAAGTAGGTAGCATGGGTTACTGAGGACAAAATCATTTTTACAGTTTTTTTTTTTATAAAGTCATCAAAGTAGGCTAATAATTTGTTAATGAAAATATAAACATGAAATTAGTCATTTAAGTAATGTGTTTATGTTATTTGCAGATTTAATATTAATACATTTCAAGTGTTGTATATAATGATCATGATGTACTAATTGTAGCCTAAATCATGTGAAATTTCTTACATATTATTAGTTTGGTTGAGTTAAAAATTTCTTACATAATTTAAATTTTGTTGAATTTAAGATTATGCCAAATAACATAAAAAGTAGGCTATGTAGGCTATCTCTCTGTGAGTGTGTGTATATAGCATTTCTATAGAATATATAGTTGGACTGTTTGCATGTGGTTACAGCTTAGCGTATAGTATGCGTGTATATGGCATACGAATGTGTGTGTGTGTATTCTATCGACAAATAAATAGGCTAACTGTGTTTTTTTTTTTTTACATGTAAATTTATAAAAATGACTGTTAATAAACATAATTATGTTATTTTTAATTAGACATTTTTATTTGCTGCCAATTTCATATTTAATCCCGATGAGTAGCTACCTACCAAGAACTAATACAACGTATTCCCATTTTATTTATTTATTATTTTGCGGGGTCTCCTCGGGATTTCTCTCACTGTTGGGTGGGGCTCTGTGGAGAACTGCCTCCAGCGGTCGGACAAGAACAGTTGTGTCTAGTAAACTCTTGTTAACGCTTTAACCAGCATCTGTCTGCTCGGAGAAGAGGTTAATCTTACCAAAAATAGATATTGCACTTGGTTTAAGAATATCTCCGATTATGAAATGCTTTTGCTAAGCATCGGCGTGGCGCGTGGAAGTTGATGGTGGGCTGCCTCTCAAAGTTCTCGTAAAGTTGTTCAAACAGGAGAAGAGATATAATGGTTCTTCAACGGGACGAGCTTCAATGAAATAATGTAAGTAACTTTTTTTTTAACTTCCTACGTTTTATGTGAAAATGGCATACGGACTATATCTACTAATGTTTTGGTTTTCTCTGTCTCTCTGTCAATAATTCTGTTATTAGGCGGTTTTTGTGATAATTGAATTTGACCAAAGGAGATTCATTTGAAAAGTTCAAAATATCGTCCTAAATTAATCGTAATAATAATAATACAATTAGAAACAGTGGTCCGTGAGACAGTATGTTTTATCTATATCTTTATTTTTGGACAACGTTGATTGTCAACTCATAAATGGAAAGCGCACATAATCTTGTTTGTTTGTTGGTAAAATAGGTGTATTGTAACGTTACATATTTTTGTTGCACTTTAGGCTAGTTGGGCTACTGTTTTGACCAGTGAAGTGAAATATCCATGGCCCAAAAGAATGTGTCGCATTATGTTGGTGGGCAGATAAATGGCTTATTGCACTTTTAGATGACCGCAAATAAAACTGTAAACAACTAAACAACTTTCTAATTTAACCTGCCTACACGTAGGCTATACAGCGTTTTTGGGCAGTTAGACATTTGATGCCCGACTGTAGGTGTATATAATGTGGAATTTCTTATGTCATTAGATGAGATGAGCTCATGTCAGAGAAAAATGTGAGGATGACAAATATTCAATTTTCTGTAGTGTTGACAGCTGTGGCGTTTCTGAAGTTAATAATCTGTTGATGTCCTGCTGTATTTTCAGTTAAAGGTTTCTCTTTGTAATTCATTGGGGTTGTTATTAATGCATTTTTTTGTACACTTTTAGGATTTCCCAAAGATTTAAAGTCTATGTTAATGTATATTATTATTCCTATTATTGTGCATTTTGCTTTTTCTGAAGTCTTATGAATACCAGAAGGCACTGTTTCTGGTTTTCCAACTATTTTTTTGCCATGATGAATCAAGTTCTTTATGCTGTTTGCAGGGTCCCCTTAGTCGCTGACCCCATTCATGTGTATTTACATACGCTTAGGGGAGCGTTCTGAACATTATTCATATGTTCTATAATGTCATGTATTACATGAATTTTATATAATGGTCTAAATAAATGGCCTCATTCTGATCACTCTGGCTACAAATGCTCCTACTTACAGAGATGCTGTGAGGCTGTTTATTTAGGGCTGAAAAATATGTAGTAACATTCTGATTTGTAACAATGATTTATTTCAGGGTGTTGACTTACATTCCTCTTAGATAAGATTCTCTTCTCATTTAAAGGGATCGTGTCCCTTTAAATTATATTATTCCACCATCGTGGCCTGCTAGACTTGTTACGTTAGTCAAGACCGCCTAAACCGAGACCAAGACACTACCAAGACCAGATTGTTGACAGACTAGTGTTGTTGAAGCTAAGCTGCCTGCCCATCTCTGACAATTTCGAAGTCTCCAAATGAATCCATTTTGCAACTTTTAAATAATTATATTTTTTAAAGATGGTTGTGGAGGAGATTCCCCTCCCTATGTAAAGTGCTTTGAGTGTCGAGAAAAGCGCTATATAAATGTAATGAATTATCATTATTATTATTAAAAACGAAATTATAAGCTTAAGTGCAGGATCCGAAAGTTGGTCGTTTTGTCGCTATGGTTACAAACACACACTCCGTTGGCGGTGCGCTCAAACCCAGATAGCACAAGTATATTTGATGTGATTTTTTACATCTGGAAGACGTATTTTTAAGAATATTTGCTCATTTGCAATACGTCTATAGGACGTTTCCTGACAAATAGACGTTTAGAAGATGTCTGTTTAACATGTATTCTAAAAGACATAGACAATAGACATCTAAATATGTATTCTTAAAGACATTTTCTAAACGTCTATTTGACATCTGACAGGAAATGTCCTGTAGACGTATTGCAGATGAGCAAACACTCTTAAAAATACATCTTCCAGATGTAAAAATCACATCAGACTTGTGCTATCTGGGAAGTCATCTGTCAGTTGTGCAGTTACCCAAAATCTCCTGAATGAAGTTAAAACCCATCATGTCACGGATATGTGTTTTACTAAATATTAATACATCAAAAACTGTAGATGATATGTGTTTTTTTTTTAATCAAGTGATCAAGTGCTCTTTGCCTCTGCGATCAATGGCGCGGATACAGCGTTTTCTCGTGTGGCTCCCCGCTCGCGCCACAGTCTTCACTTTTCACTCGGACGAGCGCTTCAAACCGTTGTGGGTATCGTTGTGGATATTGTAGTATTGTATTGCTAAATCTCCCGACCACTATATCGGTTTTAGACAGTGAGAACTAGACCAGAGGTCCAAGACCAAGAAGACAATAACTTACCAAAGACTGTCAAGGCCGTGACAAGACCGAGACCATGTAAAAGCGGTCTCGAGACCAAGACCGGTCTCGACTCACGAGACATGCATCACCATGGCCTGCTAATGAATGCAATTGGTGGCATGTTGTGGTTGTTTAATAAAATATGAATTCAGGGCCCTATCTATTGTTCTGCTGGCTGATTCTGCCTTCGCTAAACTGTACTGTGGGCTGGAAATAGAGATCTCCATTATCTTTCGACAATGGTTGTTGAAGTGAAACAAGATCTCGGGACCTCACACAGGATCTTGTAACTTCACACACTTCTAGTCTTGGCAACAACAGACTGAGGTGTTATTAACCATTGTATCAAATGAAGCATTGCGATAATCTCATTATAACATACTCTGTCCCAGATGGAGGGAAATTTCCATCCATTTGTTATAATGAAGACATTCATCACTGTAATCCAAATGTAGATGAACAATGCCCAATCAAACATATAATGTCTTCAGAATAACTTATGAGGTCTCTTGTGGTTTTCATCTCCCACTGGGATCTTCATTTTCCACAAACTTAATGACTCATTAGAACTTGCCTTCTTGGAAGCAGATTTCAGGCCAGGGGTTGTTTATTAATGTCCAATTTCAAAATTTAAATGTGTTTGTGTAGTGAAATCAAATCACAGATATGTGAGATTGAGATTGATTTTATGGATTATAGTGTTGCATGCTTTGTAGATTTTCTAACTAGGGTTTTACAGCTTGATGCAGAAGGAGAACTGTCTTTAGTACTATAGAAAACCATACAATTTCTGATGCTTCAAAGAACTTGGAAACCGATATTCTGTGGTATTTTTCATATGTAACGTCAAGAATGTTTTTTAATCAAGAAAGTGACTGAGTTGGACCCCAAAGCAAGAAAAAATTGTATTGATCTCTATTACAAAGAACCACTGAAGAACCTTTATTTTTAAGTATGTTGTTTATCAGCTTCTCTTTTCAGTAAAGCCTTGGATTGCTGTTTTTTCAGCTAGCAAACTGTGATACAAATTTCTCAGAAGTGCTATTTTCAAGCTTTAAAGAGAGCAGGGACACCTGGGAAATGCTCAGTGCAGTCCATTATTGTGGATCTGAAGCACAAACATAGTGAGTAATGGATTCTGAACAGCAGATTTTAATGTGTATACTGTACTATAGTAAGCTCTATCGTATGTCAGTATCCTTCCCTCTCTTTGAAGGGTTAAAAACAAAGGTTTATTTTAGGGTTAAACATTGTTTGATAATTCAGTCACCCTCATGTTGTTTCAAACCGGTATGACTTTATTTCTTCTTGACTTAAAGCCAAGGAGTAGTTCACTTTTAAAAATCGTTTGCTGATAATTTACTCACCCTCATCTCATCCAAGATATCCATGTCATTCTTTCTTCAGTTTTAAATTAAGATGAAATCATTCCAGGTTTTTGATGAAAACATTCCAGGATTTTTCTCCATATAATGGACTTGAACCAAACGGTTCAAGGTCCAAAAGACAGTTTCAGTGCAAACTGCAAACTGTTCAAAGGGCTTTAAACGATTCCAGACGATGAATAAGGGTCTTATCAAGCGAAACGATCGCTCATTTAAAAAAAAAAAAAACAAAGTTTAAGTTTTATAAGCTCAAATGGTCGCCTTGCTCTGTTCTGTGATCCGCGTTCGTGACTCTCCTGTTCGAACTTGTTGAGTGAACAAATCTTTTCCAGAGTCAACTCATTCATTTCGTTCATTGAATGAACCAAATGACACGAAAAAAGATTCGTTCATTTTGAAACTTTGTTTTTTTTTTGTTTTTTTTAAATGAGCGATCGTTTCGCTTGATAAGACCCTTATTCATCGCCTGAAATATTTAAAGCCCTTTCAACAGTTTGCACTGAAACTGTCTTTTGGACCTTGATCCGTTTGGTTCCCATTGAAGTCCATTACATGGAGAATAATCCTGGAATGTTTCCATCAAAAACCTTAATTTCTTTTCAAGTGAAGAAAGAATGACATGGATATCTTGGATGACAAGGGGGCGAGTAAATTATCAGCATACGTTTTTTCTTTAATCACTTTGCAGAACACCAAACAAAATATTTGGAAAGATGTCCATGAAAGTCACTGGTGTTCCATGTTTTTTTGGACCCCACTGACTTTTCTGTTCCACACAGTTATCATGAGTAAATGATGACAGAATTTACATTTTTGCATGAAGACCTTAAAACTGTTCCAAGTTATGCTTTGTAAATAGTGGTGTACCTCTTTGTAAACCTCACTGTCCATGATATTTTTCAGCAAACTTCTTATGGCTGACATGGGAGAGTGATTAGTCATTATATAATGGGGCAGCTTTTGGATGGCTGCGGTCACTGTTCTGACAAGAATCGTTTTTTTTTTTTTTTCCATGCCACAAATACATAATTTAAACCTTCAAAGTTCTCCCAAATTATAGATGCATGAATAAAGATTTTGTACTCCTGTGTGTGAGAGAAAGTGAGTAAAGTTTATGCATTGAAGTTTATGCTAGTTGTCGTGTATGAAGTGTTTTGAGTCAGTGACTAACAAATCCAGTATAAGCAACATGGTGCTATTTGCATTTTTTTTGTGTGTGTGTGTGTGCAAATAAATCCGAATGCGTTTTTTTAAACATCCATTGCGTAAAAATGTTGTCCCGGCCTTAACTGCAGTCCATTTAATGAAACCTCTAATGCAATTGTGGTTTTCATGTATTTACACTATACTAAAATTACATATAGCCCTAAGTAATAAATTAAATTGTGGTTTTGTTTCAATTTATTTTGCTTAATCTGATTGGCAGGATTTCGTTCATCAGCGGTCGGTGGTGGAGATGGAAGTTCCAGAATGCTCTTGCAGTTTTCCTGCTGCTGAACTGCCTTTTGACTACAGGTAAAGGAGCTCTGCAGATACATTGTAAATGCAAAATGTTAAAATGCAAATGGTGTGTTATCTGGAAATGTAAGCCGTAGTTTTATTCTTAACTGATTTGATATGTTTATTGCTCATCATGCTAAATCAACATTGCTTCCATCTCATTAATTCACCTTTTTCTCTCTCTTTAACCCTTTATTTCATATTTTCAGTTTCTAATTTCAGTGATTCTCTTTTCTTTTTCTGTACATGTGTAAAATTCTCTCTTAGCTTCCTTACATTTTAGGACTTTGTCACATTTCTTGCCCTTTACCTTTATCATGCTTCATGCTTTTATTGTCATTTTCCTTGCATTGTGTTGGCTTAGAAACCACATCATGAAAATATTTCGGTCATAAACAGAAATGTACTTTTTTTTAAAGAAAGAAAAAGCCATAATCAGTTTATAGTTGAATAATGATCCTACATATAATGGTAAACTGTGTACTGTGCCTGCTTGCAAGCTATTACGAGCAACATTTGAAGCTGACAAAATCCCTGTTATGACAGATACTGTTACTGAGATGGAGTTATTATTACTAATCAGACATGTTATTAGTGATTTCAGCACCAAAGAAAACATGGATTTGCTCTTAACAGGCTGCTCAAATCCTATCCTTAACCGGTCTGTTGTTGCTGTTCACAAGTTCCTTGCGAGCTACATATGAAAAGCATGTGTCTTTTTAATATTAGTCGCATACCGCAACTCGCCTGATTTGTTCGTACTGTTATACTGGTCCAAGTCGGAACATTTATGGTTGTTGGATGGCTGTCAGAAATGGTTTAGAGCAAAGATCAGATTTAATGCTGGGAATCAGCATCAGGGAAATTTCTAAAGTGCTTTAATAGTTTCAAAAACTGACAAGCGAGAGCTAATGCTCTTTCTAAACAATGAAATTCAATTTATTTAAGCCGCGGCATAACAGTATAATGTTGTGCGTAGAAGGCCAAGAGCAATTTTTAGCATCATATTAGGATGGTATGCCTCTCATGGGCACTCTAGACCTCATTTAAATCACGCCTAAATCAAAATTCTTGATGAAATAACTTGTTGATTAGATCTGATTTGTCACATTCGGTTAAACAACGCGCACAGACTCTAGTTTCCAGACAGGGAATCTTAGAGCTTGTTATTAAAACCAGATGTGATTATGGGCTGTGGAGGGAACAACCCCTTTGTGCATAAGTTTACAATATGCTGTTGTTGTTTTTCATTCTGAAACCACAAATGTACACTCGACATGTCACATGTTTGTTCTACAAAACCCTTATTTTTTGTGCCATGCTTCATAAGCCAAGGAGCCATGGGTGTGTTTATAGAATTGAATCTCTCTGGATCTTTGTAGAACAGCCGCTCCGTGTTGATCAAGAGCAGCACGCTTAAGTGATGGACTCAGTTAAGGAATAGTTCCCCCCGAAATGAACATTTTCATGTCATCTCATTCCAAACCTTGATTGCTTTTTTCTTCTTTCCAAGAAACACAAAATTAGATGCTGGGAAGAATGACCAAGCTTCACAACAAAGTCACTTCACAGTGCACTTTTATTTTATTTTTATTTATTTACTTATTTATAATTCTTTTCCCCTGTCATGTATAAGAATTCAACTGGTACAACTAGTATAATACAGGCATCTGGGATGACAGAGAGGTGAGTAAATGATGACAGGATTTTCATTTTTGGGTGAGCTGTTAATTGACTCTTGGCAGGTAAAAGCGGCACACCTGAGGTACAAAGACAGTGGGTAAACTGGCAGGAGAGTGAGAGAAATGAGACCCAGGATTAAAGCTTTCACAAAATGTGACGCTGCTGAAAGGGCTATTTTAATCTCCCGGGCTTTTTTAGCCTGAGATCCGTGACGTGTATCTGACATTCCATCTTTTGGCATCTTTACTAAGCGGCCTTCTTCTAAAAGGACATTTTGAGATCAAAGCTCTTCTTGTCTCAGGCATTCTGTCTTTCATTGACCTTCACTTCTTCAGCAGTCACTTCACACTGCTAAAATCCCATCAAATCAGCAGCTTGTTTGTTTGTTTGTTTAGTTAGTTAGTTAGTTAGTTAGTTAGTTGGTTAGTTAGTTAGTTTTGTCCTCAACTGTATTTCCAAAGTGTTGAAGATGAAAAATACCAAAAATTAGGACAGAAATAGCTTACACTTTCTAGGGCTGTCAAACGATTAATCGCGATTAATCGCATCCAAAATAAAAGTTTGTGTTTACATAATATATGTGGGTGCACTGTGTATAATTATTTTATATATATAAATACACACACACATGCTTGTATATATTTAAGAAATATTTTCCTGTATATACTGTAAATAGATTTATATATAATTTATATATGTAAATATAAATATTTTATTTATAAATAATATTTTTTTCTTAATTATACATGCATGTGTGTGTATTTTTATATATATATATATATATACACAAAATAATTATACACAGTGCACCCACATATATTATGTAAACACAGACTTTTATTTTGGATGCGATTAATCGCGATTAATCATTTGACAGCCCTAGCTGTAACATATTATTACTTTCCTTAAGTGTTGTTATTATTATTTGTCTATGCAAGTGTTTATTTCTGTGTATCAGTGCAAGAAAATAATTCAATAAAACCGGTGCATTTTCCAACTGGATAAAGTGATTTTAAAGATTTTTAGGCATGACTTTTAGTCACCATGAAACAGAAGTGGTGACCGACTTTACTTCAGTATTGTGACGTACTTTCCAAGTGAAACGGAATATTGAAAATAATGTTAATAAATTGCATTGTGCCATCTGAGGTTAAATTAATATATTTGAATATATGTGTGATACAAGGCCGCAACCCTGTCCTGAACATCGGGGGGACCCATTTTTTATAAAGCATAAATAGAACAGTGAAGGAAATCATAATTTTGATTTTAATGTTGACATAATTTTAGCCTGATATTTTGAAAACATAAAACATTTTCTATATTTATATATAGGGGTGGTGGTGATGGCGCAGTAGATAAGACACATGCCTTTGTTGTGAGATACCCGGGTTCGAAACCACTGCGAGACACCAGTGTGTCCCTGAGCAAGACACTTAACCCCTTGTTGCTCCATAGGCGTGCGACCTCTGACATATATAGCAATTGTAAGTCGCTTTGGATAAAAGCGTCAGCTAAATGAATAAATGTAAAATGTAAATATAGTCACAATTGGTTCGGAATTACTTGAATCACATAAATGCATATTTTCAATTTAAAACGACCATATTTGAGTTAAAAAGTAGTTTGCATCACTGGATGTTACTGTCTGTCGTTTAACATTTCTATCGTGAAACAGTTGACATGATGTTTTTTTCTATTTACATCTTACCTCACTCTTTCAATGTCTGACACGTCGCGCTGGAATTCACGCTCTGCTTCTGTGAACAGTAAACCCTGCATTCTTTTATTTGATTGGCCATCTCAATCATTTTGACTTTTACGAGCGCTGTTAGACCATTGAAAAGACCAACAATCTAACTTTTAAACCTTTTTGCCATGTGGAATGAATTGCAGCAGTGTAGTGCAAGAATTTTCAAATATTTGGGGGGACAGTTTGGCCATTTCTAATTATGGAGGGGGACAAAAAAGAAAACAAGGTTGACAAATTTTTATTTGACATTACAAGTTACATTTATAAGTTACATTCATTTTATTGAAATGTTTAAAGGTGTTTGATTTTTCTGTGCGTAATTTTCATTTTCGTAATTCGCTGACTCTTGTCTTTGAATTTGAATTGTCAAAACACCTCTCAAAATGCTTGCTACCGATGCGAAAAACGCAGAGAATCGAACCAGATTAAATTTTTTTTTATGTTTCGGAGGTAGTGTGCAAACGTGTTTGACACAACATGATGTCGTATTTATTTTTTTACGTTTGAAAAATTTGGATGCGATCATGCGAATTTCGGACAAAGGCCATGTTTACACAAAGCCGGGTATTTAGAGAAACAGGTATTTCCCCCGCCTCCGTTTTCAATAATAACATCGTGCACACACCCACATAAATACGCCGTCGAGCATCATCATAACTATGCCAAACCTATGGGCGGCAGTGTAGGGAGAAGGATAAAGCCATGCAAGCCAATCAGAATCCTCAGATTTGAGAAGAGAGAACCTAAAACGCCATTTCTCCCAGTTGACACGACAACACATAACCAGCGTTTTCTTTGGCCGGAGTTTTTAGAAATAATCGTTTTCTGTGATAAATATGGGGATTTCGTGTAAATCACAGGAAATTTTCTTGGAAATATCTGCGTTTTCCCTTCATGTAATCAAGGCCTAAGAAAAAATCTATAGGCTAATATTTACTAGTGAAACTTGTTATCGGGTATTCATTTTTAAGACATTTTTATGTATATGAAAGAGACAAATTGTAATCGTTTTGTAGAATTACCCCACTAGCAAGTAAATGACCTTTGAGTGGAGTGATCCATGTCTTGTTTTGTACACTTTGTGCAAATAGGATCATTCAAAACGTGTTTGGTCCCTCTGACGCAGTATTGAGATGAACCCGTCCTGGGTGGGAACCAGGATCTGAGCAGCACACGATGCTTTGCCAGGTTAGACCTGTGGCTTCTGTAGCACAGTTGGTCGTGCCTCTCTTTTTACTGTGGCCCACTCCGACAGCTTTGCACACATCTATAAAACAGCAGGATATTCCAGTAGCGTGATTCCGTCCAATAGTGATTTCAGCCTCTTTCTGCAAAACACTCACAGGCCACTTGTCAAAAGCTGGTCCCATTGCTTGCTTGTTCAAACCCCAGGCATGATGGCGGAAAGAATGATCTTTTTTTCCCCTCACCTCTTTCTTTGTTTTTGCTGGACAAACGTAACACATTTTCCACCATTTTCTGTCCCAAGTGTGTCGATGGGGTCTTGTTTGTGGCAGGTTTTGCAGTGACCCAGTTCAGACTGGTTTGACATTCTGATTTGTGTGGTGTATTTGATCCCCCAGAAGGGACGAGAAGAATGCAAATGTGTAGAAACCTTAACTTACACTTCAATAAAATGGGTCTGCTATATATATACGAAGTGTTGTTTGCATGAACAATGTCTTCTGGCTTTTCACGAGAAGTGAAATAAAAAACGAGGCAGTTATAAAATGTATAAGAATCTATTTAGTTTAATTGTTTTATGGTTTACAACTACCAACGGTACAGCCAAAGATAATTTTGCCTTGGGGCCCTAACACGTAATGTGTTATACTTTATTAAATTCAGAGTAACTCTTCAAATGTCGTTTTTATTACATATTTTGACTAATTTAGTTTCATTTAAATTTGGCTTGAGTGCTGGCACAGGGCTATGGGAAGCGAGCACTAATCTTTCCTAGTGTTTTTATTATTTTTTATTAAGAAGTTATCCATTAATGCTGTTCAATTAGAAAATTCGACCAGAGGCACATAGTAACACTTTTGCAAGAATTGTGTGTTCAATTTAATTGTGTATACCACACTGGATTATTTTTGGATTCATTTCTAAATCACACAAAGTCCCTAGATAATAATAATCCAGTGCAAACAAGTCAGTAATTTGCATACAGTAATATGTTTAACTTAGTGTATAGCTCATTAAAGTCATAAGAATATTTAAGATGGTTTAAAATGATTTAAAATAAGACCAATAAGCGTTAACATAAGCCAAAACAACAAAATTAAGATAATTCACCCTTCAACAACTGCTTTGCCTCATTTGAAGAACCAGGTATCCAAATGCCTAGAAAAACCTGGATATGAGGTAGAAAATTATGAATATAAATATATATATATATATATGTGTGTGTGTGTGTGTGTGTGTGTGTGTGTGTGTGTAAAATGCTGGGTTGTTTTAACGTAATTTTGGGTCAAATATGGACAAACTCGAAGATTGGGTTAAACATGTAATTTAAAAAATGTAACCCAATGGCTGGATTTGTCCATATTTGACCCAAAATTGGGTTAAAACAACCCAGCATTTTTTTTAGAGTGTACACAAACCTTATGCTTAATTTTTATCCAGCAAATCACACAAACAACTAATAGCCATGTCACAGAGTTAACAAATGTCATAATTAGCAAAAATATTGATAATGGCCATCTTTTGAGTCAAGTTGAGTCAATGCTTTTAGATGTCCGACCACTTCTGACAGAAAAAGAGAAGAGAAAAGTGTGTGTTTTTGGCATCTTGACAGTTTGGATTGAATTGTATGTGGTCTGAAGTGGTCTATTTCAACTGTCCACTCTGGTGAGCTCAAGGCATGTAACGACTCGGGTCTCTGAAGAGAGCTCAATCTATGGTTAAAGTTGTGTCCCCTGTAACAGAAGATCATTTTCCTTTTCTAGGGTGGATGCCCTTTATCATGCTATAAGAGAGCAGTTCTCACGATTTAATACTCAAACTTTATTGTTCCCCACCTGGAATCTGTGTAAACCATCAAATCCCAAATTTCATGTTTCTCCAGAGGATTGATTATTATACCTTTTAGTTTAAAGCCATCTCCTATAAATACTCAAAATAAAATCTGGTGGGGTTATGAATGTTTTTTTTTTTAATGCAAAGAGTTGTAAAATTTCATGCATGGAAATTCAATTTTTTAATTCACACACATTGTAAATCATTTAAAATTAGTTTAAATTGCTTAACCCTCGGTAATGTTTTACGTACATCAAACTTGTCCTTAGGGAGCCACTGCATCTTGAGAAAGCTTAATCGCTCAGCTTTGCTCAATTTGCCAAAAAGCGTTGTGTTTTTTGCTAATGTGCTGTTCGGGGCAGCATGAACAGAGGCCATTGTCTCTGAATCAAGTCTTTTTCCCAGTGTGTTGAAGTCTTTATGTCCAACTTGAGGGATCTGAAAGGGTTATTTTACCCAAAAATGAAAATAATTGCTATCAATTACTTACCCCCATGTCATTCCAAACCTGTAAGACTTTCGTTCCTCTTTGAAACACAAATGAAAATATTACATTTTGACAGTCCCTGCAACCACCACACTTTATGAACTTTTTGTTCCATCAAAACAACAATTAAGGCTTTAATTAAGGCTTTTATTCACATATAAACATTCATCAGCGAACATAAACAGAAGCTCAACCGTACTTGCTGGATGCGCGAGAACAAACCTCTTGGGAAACTCAAACGTGCTGCGTAACACGAAAATAAACTTAATTGTCAAGCGAACATGCTTAAGCTTCCTTTTACCCTAACTGATGTGTGAGTTGAATATTTAAACGTGAATTAAAGCCTAAATTAAATCTGTTCATCATATAAAGAAATCGTGTCTTCAGAAAATTTTGACTTAACTACTTCTTAACTGTTTATATGGAAGTTGTTCAGACTGTCAATGGAGGGACAGAAACTTTTCAGATTTCAATAAAATATCTTCATTTGTGTTTCAAAGATGAACAAAAGACTTACGGTTTTGGAGCAAGGGTGGGTTAATGATGACAGAATTTTTCTTTGTTTGCTTGGAGACGTCATCGTTATCATGTCTATCAAATGGTTAAATCACAGTTCAGGATTCTAGGTTATCTTTACGGGATAATGACTTCGGATTCCTTAAGTGATTCGCTGTATCTCGACCAGCCCTGATATCTTTTCTGATAAATCTCCCTCTCATTTTGTCCCTGTCGATGCACTAACCCGGTGGCTGTCTAAACGCATCTTCCTGTCATCTGATTTCACTCCTGTCCTTGGCCCTTTCCTAATACCTCTGTCCTTCGGCCATGCAACGTAAAGTGACATGTGACCTGTTTGCTTACAGTAGCACAGAGCTGCCAGACTAGCGTCAGCTGCAATGTGGTGCTCACCGACTCCCAGGGCTCTTTTACCTCCCCCTGCTACCCCAATGACTACCCACCCAGTCAGGCCTGCAGGTGGACCATACAGGCCCCGACCGGCTTTATAGTGCAGATCACCTTCCTAGATTTCGAGCTTGAGGAAGCACAAGGCTGCATCTATGACCGCATCAACATCAACACTGGCACGAGTGATACCAAATTTTGCGGCTTAACGCCCAATGGACTAACTCTCAACTCCAGTGGCAATGTGATGGAGGTTTCCTTTACCTCAGACTTTAGTGTCCAAAAGAAAGGCTTCCATATCAGTTACAAGCAAGGTATGTTTATTACATGGCGAGCTCTGCATGGTTATTCCTGTATTTTTATATTATATTTATTTAATTAATGTTTAGAAAATTATTCTTAAAAATTATTTTATTTAAGAATCTCATAAACTAAAATACTTTTCTGTTTAATAATTTGTATTAAATTTATGCGATGTACCCTGTTATGGTTCATTAATTATGTTTTGCTATGGTTTTGTGGCTTTAAAACAAATTTCAGATAATCGTTCCAGACGAGCGTGACAGCTGGAGCACAATGTTTTAATGTTGTGGATAAACTTCAGACTTCATAAACAGCAGCTTTATCGAGATTACATTGCTAAACTCTGCCGCTCTGTTTCATATCACAGCTGCTGCAGCATTTTGCTTTGCCTTTCACTCATCGGTATATCATCTCATTGTGTTTTTATGATGACCGCAGTCACAAACATTTAATCATTTATTATTTATATTCCGCACTTCTCTCATTCTCTCAGTCTGAGTTTTCAGCCTGCAAATTTTTTTTTTTAATCAGTCTTGTATTTCAGGAAAAAAATATATTTAATTTATTAATTTGATTGTGTAAGATAATAAGACTGTTTTCCCCTCAGTGAGAGTAAATAGTAAAAATTGTACACAACCAGTCCAACTTTGGGGTTAGTAAGATTTTTTTTAATATTTAAAACAAACAAACATTTATTTTATTAAAAAAATGCATTAAAATAATGCAATTTAAAATATCTGCTTTCTATTTTAATATATCTTGAAATGTAATTTATTCATGTGATTGAACATTCTAAAAGAACAGCAGTAATTTGAAATAAAGTAAAACAAAATCTATATTTTTTAACATGATTTTCTGCGAGTTTGTAAAGTCACATATATTTGTTTCACCACAGGAAGTTGATCAATTCAGTTCATAGAGGGTGAAGAATCTTTTTGTGGCAAAAGCTAAAATAAAATTGATATCTATATTTACTTTTTTCGAGGTGTAGCTCGTTATCCAGTAACAAGGGTGCCTAAATTGACATGTAGAAATGTGTTCACATGTCGCGATCAAACAGCACAAACTCCTCCAAAAGAAATAACAACCAGCAATAAATAACCTAAGTAATGAAGTCAGACATGTGGGAAATAACACCCATTAAAACCCAGTAGCCTTTACAGATATAGAGGATTTTCCAGTTTCTTAATGAAACACTTTTGAGATCAATCTCATTAAAGTTTAGTGTTCGGCTAACCTGTAGCTTTTTCTGTCATCCTTAGATAGAAATATACATCTGGTTATGTCAGAAAGCATCACAAATATTAGAGTGCAGGGACCTAATAGTACAACAAGAGATGTATTTTTCCATTCTGAATTGGTTATGGTTTTTATTGAGCCGGCCAACAGACACAAACTTCGGCCAATTTAAATGAAACGTGTCAGCAAATAGGACTTTAAAGAGGGGTTTTAACATGGCCAAAAGAATATGACTTCCCAGTTTGAAAGAAGTGTCTTAGAATGATTTCTTAATATAGTGTTCCTGACAACCTTGGATGATTTCAGACATTAATGTTTCTCTTCTTTTCTCATGTGATGAAACGTACTATAAAAACAGTTACTCTGTATTAGTCGATTCACATTTAGACTCTTGTCCCCGTTTAGCCCGTTTGAAGACCATAAAGAGGTTTGAACGAATGTTTTTCTATCCCACATTACCTAAGTATGTGCATTTGTGTCATGTTTTAATATCTAATGGTTTTTCACTCTTGCAGTGGCAGTGTCACTGAGGAACCAGAAGGTCACAATCCCAAAGAGCAGCAAGAATACAGTGAGAGTGTCCAATTCAGTCTCCATCCCTGTTCTCACCGCCTTCACTGTGTGCTTTGAGATCGCCCGCACTGCCCAGAAGAGCACAGAGACCATCTTTACCTTGTCTAATGCTCAAGGGACATCCATTTTGGCATTTGAAAAAACAACCAGAGGCATGGAGCTTTTCATAGTCGGTACCTACTGTTCTGTAAACGACAAAATCGCTAGCTCAGACATCACAACCAGCATGAAGCCCATCTGCCTCACCTGGACCAGGTCCTCTGGCTTTGTGGCAGTGTACTTTGAAGGTCGATATCTACGAAACATCTGCTCGACCTCCCTGGTTTACACCCTGCAGGGTGGGGGAATCCTCCAGCTTGCTGGAAAAGGGTCAAGCTCTGTCGACGTGGATGATCAGAATTTGGATGGCTTTGTTTACAATTTCCGATTTTGGGATTATGCCATGGGCCAATCCGAGCTGTCTGCCCTCACCTGTGATGTTGTAGGTAATGTCGTTGATTGGGATCATTCGTTCTGGACTATCCCGGGCACTTACACACAGACTGACAGCACGCTCAGCTGCAGTAAGTATACTGTTTTAGCTATATAATTTGAATGCTGGTTTATGAATTATTATTTGTGAAGTGTAAGGCGTTTAGATGTGAGCGCATCAACAAAATATGATTTATTTGTCTGATGAATTTGACGATCTCATATTAGATTCAAACTTTGTAGTATTTTCTTATTCAATTCACTTTAAAATATTGAACATCCTAAATACAGAGAAGTAAAAGTGCCTAAAACATAAAAATCAGGGGTAGAAAGCACTTGAAAAAAAAAAAACATAAGCAAATACAGATACATTTGAAAAGAAAAGGAAAATGTATGTATTTGTTAGAGATGTTTTACACTAACAGAGAAGGCTTTGTATGTCCTGTGATCACAACGGACATGTAAATACACCCAAGATTCATTAAAACCACATTCATTAGTGGTCAAAGAATGATTTTGGTGACGTACGGAAATGTTGTTTTGTTATGTGCACATAACCACGGAAATAATATCTGAGTGCTATTGTAAATGCAATTCAGCCAAAGGATTTGGAAACATACAGTACATGGATGGATGTTAATGCCAGGTTTGAAGGGGCCTTTCCCAGTGCATTTTCTGATCAAAAAAGAATCTTCAGAACCAAATGTCATAACCGCTCCCACTTTTAGACAGCATTTTTACAGTCATTCAAATGCCCTCTAACTCACGATGTAATGAGCTTTGGAATAGCAAAGGCAGGCATGATTCACATGCATAACATGCTTCACCAGGAACTGCTTTCATCCACTTAGCTTGGTTCCTGAAACTCTAGATACTCAGCACAGCATGGGTCAGCAGCCCATGGGAAGAAAGTGTCACATTAAACCTTGCGCCTCAGATCAAAAGAGTTAACTCACTAACTTTCTGTTCTCTACGATAGATAAAGCCAAATAGATTTGGTCTATGCTAGTCTTGGAAGTGCCAGATAACATGTCGAATCACCTCTATATTAGAAGTCGCTTTTAAAGGCATTTCCTTGTCAGGAGAAGATAACATCACAGAGTGCACAGATTCAGTGTTTCAGATAGCAGATCAAATGCAAATCATTAGCAACACATTGTAACGGTGAGCTTCAAAGTCCACATGTGAAAATGCTTGTTTTATTTGATTTCTTTTTTTTTTAACTTTACACATTTTATACCCAGCACTGCAATTTGCGTGAAAATGTGTGTTGAAAAATAAGCATGAAAGTCTTCTATTAGATTTTTCCCGTGTAAAAACCTGATGCTATCCAGCATGATTTGAGAGTGGTCTTAAATGATCATCTTTCATCAGAAATTTGCTTGTTTTTTTTCCTTTTCTTTTTTTTAATTTCAACTATGGTGCACAATCTTAAATATTTTCGTAAAATTCCTTTACGGAATTGAAATGTTTGATTTAGTTTTTTAAATCGAAAACCTTTTAACTATGGTTTACGATTTAAACTGAATTTTGAATCCAAGATTTTCAATGTGGACGTCCACTGTATACTGTGATTTCATGTTAACATCACTCCCTTTCAAAGAAATGCATTCCTTTTGCTAGATATTGTATGCAACTTACTGAAATATCAGTGCCATGTCACTTGAATCAACTGCTTATGCTAACTGTCGTTTGGAAAAGCAACTAATTTCTCATCTTCTTTTGCAGTCTGTTTCCCAAATTGCATTCACTTAACATCTTCATCTAGTGGTGAGTTGACTGCTAACATGCCTAATATGTGTGTAATTGCTTGCTTTTAGCTGTGAAGGTCAACGCTTCAGTGTTTTCCTGTTCCCGAAGATGTTTTTTGGTGTATTGTCACGTCATTCCAAACTGTTATGACTTTTGACTTGCTTTAGAAGAACACAAAAGGTGGATTGTGAATAAGACTCTGGATGTTCATCTCTTCAAAAGATGTGAACTGAACTGGGACTAAAGCCTCAAGCTTCATAAAGGATGGAAAAGCATAGCATAGATGCAGTCCATATGATTTCAATTCATAGTTCAAGTCTTCTAACATCAGCGCATCAGTCAGTATGTTAGCTTTGTGTGATAAATAGTCCTAGTTATATTTTTGGATATATATATTTATCAGATACAATAGTGTAGATGATGAGTCAGGGAGCAATGGGGGAGGGGTGAGAGGAAACAACAGCAAAAGCACCTCGAGCTGAGACGCGGATCGCTTGAAGCACAGCTGCACCATATGTCAGTCCATATTTAAGATGTTAAGTCCATATTTAAGTTGTTATTTACTGATAATCATCTCCTTTAGTGAGCTCTTGACTATTTTGACTGGATCATTAAGTAAGTATGAACTTGAACCGAATTTGTCTATTCGTACCGAGTCAATTTTGTGAACTGGATCACCAGATTCATTGAGAAGATCCTTCACACACAAAATTTTTTTGAGTATTTTTGATAAATGAATTCACCTTTTTGGTTTTAGTTCTCCTTTAAAGAAAGTCATATTTGTTTGGATTGATTTTTGGTTCAATAAATAATCACATAATGCTCTTTTTAATGAACTACGTTCTTTTGTCCAATTCCTTCGTTTTAAAAATGTTCCCATTTCAAAGGTAGACCTGTTGTAGCATTTCTTGGCCTTGACAGGAGCAGTATAAGACCCCTCTGCAAACTGCAGACAGTTAGACGCTGGAGCCTATGACACATAACTATTTCCTTTGCTCAGTTACAACCAGCTGTGCTTGTGATGTTGGCATGAAGTCAAGAGGCCCGTGAAGTTAAGCCTGCAGCAAAACTAATGCTGTCACTAATAAGCATGCTTTAAAGACGCTACCCTCCCCTCCCCTCTCTTTCCATTGGGTACTCATGTGTTTCCCTCTCATCCTTTGACAAGACCAGTGGGGGATAGCGATCCCACCTTGCATGGAAACGCAGAACAGTTCGTTTTTTTTTCCCTCAACCTGCCTTTTAATGCAGGACTTCAAGATGATCAGAGATTCAGTGTTATAATGCTAGACAGCTGCCGCAATGTGACGTCTCTCTTAATATATTTAAGAGCTCTTACATTTGTCCTGCTACTACATTCCTATGATGTGCTATGGATTAGTTTCACCTGATTTGATTCAGTGTGGTTCAAATTAGATTCAGTTTGACACCTGAATCAAATCTTTTTGAAGTTTTTCAAAAAGTCAAATGACTTGTTCTCAGAGCTTAAGTCAGATTTATATTGTATTTGAAAATGTCAAAATAATCAGCTTTTGTTGAACTTGGAACTGAGAGTGGTTTTGCTTTACATATCAAAACTCAAAGCCATCAAGCTACTGAAAAAGTGTAAAAATATGAAAACCTTCAAAATCTTTAAGAAGATCTGTACAAATAGTTTATAGACTGAGTGATGTATGCTCGCACATGCTCTGATGAGAATTGCATTGACTAAACTTTAACCAATAGATATGATTTGCGAGTTGAAATTTTACTTTGCAGATTGCTTAGCTTTTAAATTGTTCAAGATGTTGTCATGCATTCTTCAATTATGTTGTTTTAACACAGTTAGAAATTATAAATTGGAAAGATCTGAAAAGCAAAACAAGATGGAATTTGGTATTTCATACATCCTTGGTTCATGTAGAGAAAAGGTGGCATTCCTGGGCCTCGATCAAACCAGCCTGTAGAACATTTCTGTCATTCAACTTCTGAGAATTATTAAATTCCACGTTTGAGTCGCTGATGTTCAAGTTTCAGCTTGGACATTTTGAGGTCACATACCATTGTCAAAGCCCAGAGAATGGCTGGGAAACGTATGACACTTTTTCAGTCCAGTTCTTGCCCTAAGTTAGATTTGAATTCCTATTTATGGATGTTAAAGAGAATTTATATTTTTGACAGTGTTTAGAGCTTAAGTCAGCTTTATATTGTGTTTTTTGAGCAACAATAATTTTTATTATATTGTATTTTGTATTTTTTTATAATAATTAAATTGTATTTTTTGAACTGACTTTTATTTGCCTAATATTTATTCCCATCCAGGAAAAAAAGGTCCAAGTCTGCCCACTTGATTCATTTTATATATATATATTTTTTGTGTGTTTATACATTTGTTTAAATGTTGTTTTAGTTTCAGTTTAGAATTGATTTTTGTATAAAAAAATGTTTTATAAATGACATATTTATAAAATATCAAATGTTCCTTTTCAAATCATTCATAGGTACTGCCATAGCAACTCTTTCCCCGGAAACCTCAGGTTGCGCCTCCCCTGGACTTGGCTGCCCAGGTAGGAAGAACTATCCTTATTATAACTTTTAATGCTGAACACATTCCTCAAAACATGTATGTTTTTCCTGTATAATTAGTTTACCCTTTATAAACTATTCTCATCAAAGAGCTTTTTGTCGCATCTGTACGACTTTGCTTATTAAAAAATATTCCTTTGTCTCATTGATTTATTTTTATTTTTTAAAGTAAGCTATTAAAAAAAAATCTTGTCCTGGAAAATGAAATATAATACTTCATTTGCAAGTCTTAGGCCTTTAGTTTTGGGTAAGCATGCCAAACAAAAACAGCTTACCTTCTGCTCATTAAGACACCCCTAACCTGAACTTGTGGCCAATAAACATCCATCATCAGCAGGGAGCCATGAGAATCCTCCGGCTAAATGTCCTCAGTCATGTCCATTAAAGGCCATTGCCCCATTTTAACCATTTTGCTTCTTTCCCAAAGGTCTACTGAAATTTCTTTGCATAATATTTATTCCCATAATAGTAAAAAAATAGAAAGAAGCACATTCTTGCCCAAAGATTGGATAGTCTTATTTTAATAAAGTTAGTCTTCTACTGTAGGTTTAAAAATGTCTTGTTAACCTTTTCTTCTCATTATTGAACTATACTTCATCATAGTTTTTATTTCCATTTATGATACGCCTGCAGAATATCATGGAGCTAAAACATCTGTGCTGAGAAATCTATATTTTTTTATCAGTATATAACTCTGAATTTCTACATAGGTTTGACCAATGTATTTCTACATAAGTTTGACCTATGTATTTCTAAGGACGCACAAGGTAGTATTTAATCCCCTGGGTGTTTGTAGAAAATTACTTGTAACAGACATAGGAGCTAGC